GCTCGATTCTACGCATTAATGCTGAAGATCAATACAAGAAAGTACAGCAACAAGCATATGTATTCAGAGTGAAAAGCAATTATTTTTATTTCTCTGTTTTCACATCTAAAAGTAGAGCTCGACATTCGCTAGCGGCTAGTGTATATAATGTCCACAGTCAAGAATTAATTCTGTGGCCATGTCACCAAACCCAGTGCCCCCCCTGAGACAGTCATTTATCAATTGAGAAGTTAAGAATTAATTCGCTTTTCCTCGCGCTTCGATTTTATTGTTAGCGCTATGCTTACCATAAACTGGCCATTCTTTAATTTAATTCGTAGTAGCGCACAAAGAGCGGAGGGCAATGCGGGAGTAAATGAATGAACAATTAATCGCGCGAATATAACAAATGACTACACTCACCGACCGACGCACCTGATATAACCTCATTACCGGCTCTGCCGGCTGCACCATTATTTCGGGCGTTCGTTTATTCAAGGATACAGTCCAATTAAACGCGACGCCAGGACCGACCCGAACGACCACCTCTTTATACGACACTCATCTCGACATTCGTCACACTCGTGATACGCGCAAACGAGCGTAAATCACACGAAACATACACGACATTTGCGCGATACTCCGCCGTTCGTTTCGATCGTGACGTAAGACTAGACGCGATATTGTGCGTAATGGCGGTATTACATCGACACGGCCAGGGCAACCAATCAAATCTCAACGAGCCTAATCTGCGGCCAATAATGTTAGCATTGTTAGCGGCTAGATTGCTTCTCAAAATTTCGGATGAATCTCCATTATTAAATATTAAGGCGATGCTAATGCTCGTGGCGCAATGGCGTCGGGTCACCCCGACGGATCGCCGAACGAGACGAGTCAGACGAGCGGGTAATTAGTCTCGCGTGAACGATACATAACGTGATATTCACTCACCGCCCAATGGCGCCCAATCGCCGTCGTCCCTTCCGGGTACGCCGCTAACGCCGCATTTCTTCCTTGAAACACGCCACGACGCTCCGCTCTCGATGCTCCGAGACGCTCCTTTACGATGCCGTCGGAAATGTCGGGATATCTCCATCGCACGATACACTCACTCACGACCGTTGGGAAGACGCGGGGCCGATCACGGATTTGCGAGTTAATTACTTGTTAATTGCCCGTCAATTCACTCACGCGGCACTTCCGATCGCTCGCGACGCACTCGGATCGGACAGAACGACGCGAGATACGCGGAAATCGCGCACATCGCCCTCGCGCGATCACTTGGTCACTGATCGCGACTCGCGACATTCGTTACAATTCGTTAGATACTACGCGGGACCGCGAGCTCCGAAAAATTTGAAACCTGTACTGACCTGCAGCAACTTCGCGACAAAAAAATTTACCGTGGCGGGAGGGGGGGGAGGTAACCGCTCGCGGTTGGCAGTTGGCATCCCTCGCGACGCTCGCGACACGGGCGAATAAAACTCGGCGATTTACTGCTTCCGCAATGTCCGCATATTCGCGTGAAATTATCTCGCTGCGTACTACGAACTTTTCGGACGAGACTCAACTCGTCGGAGAAGTATCACGCGTCCCGTCGGGCGTAACGAGATCGAAATCGTGAGATAATAAGGCAAGGTAGGATATGTTCCCGTAGATGTGCACTTGCTCAATAATACTATTTTGTGTAAATAAGTAATAAATTTTAACTACCGTGTGTGTCGAAATGTATTATTTTAACTTTATTGGTTTAGTAAGTTTAGATTAACATTGTTCAGTTAAATTAACGACGATTAATTGAGTAGAAGCAGTGGTGGACCTACAGGAACGGTTGTAAAAAGACTCAAATTGAGTATATAATTTAACTACGAATTTGACAGTGTCCGATTGACCATCGCTATGAACAAGTGCGCATCTACGGGAACATCGTACCTTGCCTTACTAACCTCACAGTATCTTACGATTCCGATCTCGTTCGCCCTGACGCCATGACGCGACGCCGCGACGCGCGGCATTTCTCCATCGAGTCCCGTCCGAAAAGTTCGAAGTACGCGGCGACAACTTCACGCGGATATATGCAGGCATCGCCGTTTCATTGGCCCGTGTCGCGAGGGATGCCAACCGCGAGCGGTTGCCCCCCCTCCCCCATCCCGTGAATTTTTTGTCGCGAGTCGCTAGATTTCAAATTTTTCGGAGTCGACAGTACTAGCCAACGTCGCGAGTAATCGCGCGAGTGCGACGTGAGTGATGCGTGATCTCCCCGCATTTCCCGTCGTTCCATCCGATCCGGGTGCGCCGCGAGCGATCGGAAGCGGTCGCGCGAGTGAATTAACGGGTAATTAACCTGCATAAATTCGCGATCGGCCGCGTATTCCCGACGGGCGCGAGTGAAGTGTATCGCGCGCGATGGAAATATCCCGGCGTTCCCGACGGCATCGTAACGGAGCGTCTCGGAGCATCGAGGGAGGACCGTGGCGTGTTTCAAGGGAGAGAAGCGGCGTACCCGGAAGGGACGGCAACCACGACGGCGCGCGGGCGGTGAGCCGAATATATATCACGTACATATATATGTCATTCGCGCGAGCCTAATTATCCGCTTGTCTCGTTCGGCGATCCGTCGGGACGACCCGACGCCATTGCGTCATAGGGATTAGCATTAGCAGTCCTTTTACGCCATCATGGCGAAACGCAGTAGGTTTCCTTTGAACCGAGATGCAATCCGAAACGGTCGGGGAGAGAGAGAGAGAGAGAGAGGGCGGCGGTCCGTTCTACGAATAGATCCATCAAGCAAAACTGCCGCTAAGAATAGGCGGAGCGTCCGACAATTTTTGAGGGACACCGGCCGGCGGCTTTCAGGCCCGCCCTGCGTTCCACGGAGCCCGGGCCCGGAGTCCGGAGTCCGGAGTCGCGTGTGCCGTGCCATGTGCCGCGTGAGGTCGGAACGAAATAAGTCGTCCGGGAGCGATTCTCGCGCGGATTAGAGGCGATGGAAAGTCGAGGTCGCCCTTGACGTAAGCGCGCCTACCGCGCTTCGTAGATACACAAATACGCTGACGCCTTTTCGCGTATATCGCGTTCCGAGAAGCACACACGACACGCTCGCGCAGGATAACGCGCGGAGCGGTATTAAGACGCCGATTGGCTTGGGAGTTATTAATCGCGATCGAGAGCCGACGGGAATCGTTCACCCCGCGCGCTCCGGCTTTATTGAATTTATTAGCGGCGCCGATCGCCGACGCGCGATCGCGATCTTTGATGCAAATGCCGCCGCCGCCGTCGGCGCCGCCAAGTTGGCTCGCGATAAACAGGCGGTAACAAGTGGGTGTTTAGCTCGCTCCGGATATTTTTACGCTTTTTAAGGCTCGAGTCGATGCAATCTTTCCTTGATTTATTCACTTAATATTCAGGTATTCAAACGTGTAATAAAACGACGTTTGAACTAAATGCATATAACGGATTATAAACTGCGTTGCAATCAAAACCGGCGTTTCCCTCCCCCCCCTCCCCACTCTCCTCTGTCCGCGTAACTCGACGCAACTCGCTATGCAGTGGAGTGTCGCGTATCTACGCCTCTATGGGTGAATCAGATACCTACGTCAAACAAATCCCCCTCCGAAATAAAAGCGAAACATCCCGCTTAGACGTAGGCGGTAGATATATAGCGTGTACGTGCTATTTGGGTCGAATTCTTCGTCCCAATATCGGAATATAGCGGCGCGTCAATTTCGGTCCTGCAACAAACGGTTCTCTACTCTATACATCTCTCCCCCCCGGCCTTGACATCGACCGTGCCGATTGCTTGCAGCTACGCAGTTGTAACCGAGTGGCATCACCGACGTCCGCCACCTCCTAGGAACGGGCACCGCGAATACCCGATCGTATATTTGAATAGCGTAAACAATCTCGCGGGACAACAGAGGTCTGAATTCGCTGGAGCATCATCTCATTAACATTTTCTGCGCGTCAACACAGAGCGCGGAGAACGATTTCGATTATTGTTGCCGCGGTATAAAGCAAACGCCACGCCACGCGATCCATCCATATCCATATTTCACGCGAAAAACGTGAAGTCGATGACGAATCTTGGCGCGTCCGTGGTGGTGAACACCCTCCCCGCGCGCGGCAATCGGTTCGCGACTATACTTTCGCGAATGACGGTGCATCGACGCCGACGCGAGGCGATCTTTATAGATATACCGTCGACCTTGTCCTTGACATCGACCGCGGCGTCCCGACGATACGCAGGCCGGCCCGCGGTTACATCGAGATATCCGATACACGCGGAACACAGCCGAGAAGTATACCCGTGGTGGAGGGGTTCACCTCCGTCGTCGGATGGGGGGGTATTTTAAAGAGGGATATAGGGGACGCTAGATCTATATTACAGCGGATGCTGGGAATATTTCATAAGATTACGTAAAACTTTTCGGGAGCTTCGTCGTTTCACGGACAAGTAACGAGAGATGTTAATGAGCGTAATAAATAATAGGTTGTTTGCGATCTATAAGTGGCTCGCTCTCTCCTTCGTGATTTTTTTTTTTTACGCGCCATGCGCTAGAAACACGACGATTTGCAACTCCGCGACTACTCGTTCCGGCTGTTTTATCGTGGAGGGAGAGAGTTTCGAGTTATTTCTGTATCTACATTCTACATCGACATTATGCACAAAACAGAATTGCTCGAAATAAAACGAGGACAAGTTCGACTAATCTCGTACAACGCGAATATAAGATCGTATTCCACTACTATTTATTAACGCGGTTACATTCCGCGTCGGTTGTGACTGCAGTGGACAGAATTGGACGTCTATGTGTAAACAATATCTAAGTGTAGTCGCTCCGTAACTTATCTCTTTACCAGTAACTTATGCATCACACGTACACGTTCCGCATCGATATCTATTAAAACAATTCATTTCTAATAGTTAGAAAAGAAAAAAATATATAAAATCGATGGAATCATTTAGAAAGGAAGGAATCCAGAATTCTCAAATGTGTATTGCATGATAGAAACAATATTTATTTACATGTCTCACAACTGAATTATACAAATAAATGCGTGGTATAGTTTTTACGAATAAAAAATGTTTCGTAATGTGAGGCTAAAGGTTACTTACTTTTCCTCTTCATAGTTTTAGGCTTTGCCCTCGATTTTTTGCCCCGATTATCGCCTCGACTTTTCTTTCCACGTCCTTTAGTTTTTTCCTTCGCTTTAGCCGCGCGTAAATCTTTCTTCATCCTCGGGTCGACTATTTTATATCGACCTTTCACCCCGGGTGGCCGAACGGACCGTTTTTGCGCGGTATGTTTCTTCGCTACGATATACTTAACTTCCTTTTTTGGCTCCTGACGTGCTTTCGTGTACAACCTAAGTCAAATTGAAGAGTGAATTATGATGGTACATTCATCAGAATATTCAGGATAAAACGTTCTAAGACATTTCATACTTACGCTTTAACTTGCCTGGCCTTCTCTTTACTACTGATGTCCGTATTATCCATCAATGCTTCTACTTTCTTCTTGGCCTTATCAAGTTTGCGCATTGCGCGTTTCTTTTTCCTTGCTTTAGCTTCCATTACTTTCTTAATAGGTCTCACGTTCAAGTCCTCCACCCTCTTTTTATATTCATCGGCAAGTTCTTTAGGTACAGGCACGTCCTTCTTCATATGTTTTTCCTCGTCCTTCACAAACCAATCGGGTAATTTCTCGTCGTTGAACGCATACCTATTCCAAGCCGAGTCAAGCAAGTCTCTTCGAGATTTTCTACTTTGAATTAGTAACGATCCGAGCGCTAAATCTTCGGGAGTCAATTTCTTTTTCTTCGGCTTTTTATCTGATTAAATTATAAACAAACATGTATATTGAGATATAAGTAGCTACAATTATTAATAGTCTCAATCGGTAAAATGCATTATAAAACTTCTTTACCTGTTTCTCGTGGCACTATTTCAAAACCATCTTTTCCACCGATCTTTTTCATTTTTTTATTAGGCGCCATCATTTCTTCCACATCATAATCCGAATCTGTGTCATCACTTTCACTAATTTTGCGTTTCCGTTTCTTTTCCTCATCTATTTTCTCTTGCATGTTCTTCTCTTCTCCGAGGACACATCCACCTTTCTTCTTGTACTGCTCGATCATTTTATCCACTTCATAATCTGCGTCGTCTTCATTCTCTAAGTTTTTAAATACATCTTTCTCAAACCAGAGTGCTGCTTTATGAGCTCTTTTAGTTTCTTTATCCCGGAAATCTAGATCAGTTAACAACGGCGTGCTTTCAGGATCTTTAAATTGTCGTTTCTTTTGTGGTTTACTTGTACTTTCGTCGTCCGAATCGTCCAAACCTGTATTAAAATAATAAACTTTATAGATTCTGTTACAAATTCAAACAGTAAGTCAGAAACAAGATATAAATCTTTCAGCTGGAAGAGAATTATTTGATTAATTATATTGAGATCAGTATTAATATTTTATGCATAATACCTAGTCCAGATTCTTCGCTATTTGTATCGTCATCCGATGCATCAGTATCACTTTCCTCGCTATCCTCCGATTTATAGTATAAACCCTTACTATCCAAGTGACCTGTATCTTTTTCATATTGAATCGTATTCGGTTTCACTTCCTCGTCCGACTCCACATCGCTCTCCGCTAAGACGTCAGGCGTTTGATTTGTAACTTGCTCTAATTGCTGATAGGTCTGAATCTGATCTAATTTAAACAAATCGTCTCCTTCTAATTTAGGTCCCTCGTCGCTCTTGTGAATCATTTTCAAATTGAGTCGTTCGTTCAGCTTCTGCCTTTCTTTATTAGCTTTCTTCTTTTTGCGTTTTAACTCTTTAGCTTCTGCTTCCCGAAGCTCGGCGATCTGTTTTTGAATTTCCTCGTCTTCCAAATCCTCCTGTTCCTCGAGGCTAATGGTTGCAGGTGCTTCATCCTTAACTGTATTCTCCACTTCTTTCGTTTCAGTTTGCGACTCTTTTAACGCCTTCCACCAACCAAGTAGAAGCTTCAAATCTTTTCGCCCAAGTACTTTAATATCCTTGCAACATTCCCTAATTTCTTTAGTTGTTTTCTCGTGCTTGTCGATAACTTCGTCGTCTATCACTATTTCTGAAGCATTCTGCAATGCTTCTAGTGCATCTTCACAGGCAATAAACTCTTTTGCAGATAATTTATGATATAACGTGTAATCATTCTCAGGATATCCTTCTGCTTTAGCTTTCTTTTGTTTTTCTGGATGAAAAACATTTAATTTGTTCCCAGTTTCTAATTGTAAGTCAGAAAAGACATGCTTTGGGTCAAAGAACTTAGGATCCAACTTATCAGGAGCAATATAATATTGACAAACTACAAAAATTTCTGCAGATTCACTACGCGAGGCTTGAGGTTTAGTAGCATGTACCTGTAATTAAATTATGTAATTAAATTATAGCAATAAAATAATAGATAATTAGTAAATATGCCTTAAATGATATTAATCTTACCTTCTTAAACAATTGTTTTAGCACCCAGACCAATGGGTTATAATCTTTAGATCGAAATACTTTTGTTACAAACCAACCACCAGCTTTTAAAAATTGAGTAGCTAATTTAAGGGCTGATAATGTCAAAACAGCTTGTTGATATGCATCATGAAGCCAACTTTTTCCCACATTGGGAGCACCATCGTTTAAAACAACGTCAGCCTTCCATGTTTTCAATTCACGTGAGATAGCAACTCTACATTTATCCGTTGTAATATCCTCTACAAGACTGAGACATCCCGGGATAGGCTTTATCGGAAATAAATCTACACCGATAACTATCGATGATATTGGCATATTTTGCCTGGCAACTTGCATCCAGCCGCCAGGTGCAGCACATAAATCGATGCATACTCTGGACTTTTGAAGAAACTCAAATTTCCGATTTAACTGAATTAACTTGAAAGCCGCACGTGACCTATAACCTGAACAAAAACGTTCAATTTAAGTAATTATTTAGATGATATGATTAATTGCTAAACGTTTGATTAAAATACTACCATATTTGAAGCTGATATAAATTTTAATTTAGTAATTTAACTAATATGTATATAAATAATTAATGTTACCTGTTTCTTTGGCTAGTTGATAGTATTTATCTTTCCTCTGCTTTCCAATCTTTGATTTTTTCCCCATTTTAATTCAAGATATTTTAATTTTTTATATAGATAAATACGCACGTATTAATTGCGTATAGTTATTATTAAGAACCTGTACAGCTTGGTTTTCAATCACGCGAGACTCATGATATAGGTTAGGAATGTTCCACCTGAATATGCTGATATGAATTTGTTGTGCGTGTGCCAACTTGACAAACTACTCCTACTTTTCCGTGATCTTGACGTTTATTGGTAGGACCGTAAAGTTGTCGAGTATTCTAATTGGCTCTCGAGTAGGGACTTTTTAATATGGATGTCAATCCGTTTTCTCGCATGTTTGTGCTTTGTGCACGTGGTGCACTATTTGTGCACGACTTCAGTGTACTCGTAATGTAGCGTAGATTTAACTCCATGGTGAAGGAGTTTCTTTGCCTCGCTTTCCACAAAGTATATCATCTTTCCAATACATAAAAGGAAGAAACGAAGGAAAAATGTGGAAGGTCGTAGTTCGTGGAATCCGAGAAACGTTGGAGCGACGTGTTTGTCGCACCAATGTTTACTCACAATCGTCGCAGGATAACGCGAAAAATGAAGTCAAGACGAGCTTGACATGCCAACAGAAATTTCTTCCACCAGTATTCATCACTTGTGACAAAGGCTTTTGCGGATCAGCTAAAAGCTCCGGTGCTAACAACAAGCAACACGATTGGAATACCAAGCACAGTTGGCCCGAGGCTGTCGGCTGGGTAAATACGTTTTTCAAAACAAAACCTGTTATGCAACACACATCTTGGCAACACTAAAAAGTCTTTATCGCTAATATGTGGCTTATATTTTTATTTTATTAGTCCAGCGTACTGGCAGCTGGATGGGTCGTATGCCAGACGCTTTGTCTCCGCAAAAGAGTCTTCGACAGAGATAGCAATGAGACCTCGAAAAGCAAGTTACGTGGTTACTCTCGAGTTTCATTCATACTTATGCAGTTATTAAATTTACATCCAAGAAAAATCCTGCCGGTTACTAACTGTACTGGCACTAGCAATAAACTAGCAAAAACATCCAATCTGCAGGAATCAGACTCACAATGGACTGCAGAGAAACCATTTGGTCCTATCACCATTGAAGAGGTGAGGATGTTATTTTGCAGACCATATACTCTGTAATGTTATAGGCACAAATTATATTGAGATGGAAGCTTACAACAGTCTATATTTCTCTTAAATAAATATTTCAAAAAGAATTTGTATACATAATGTGTGCTAGCATATGTAAAAAAACTCAGTATTTTATGCAAAAATGTTCTTAATCACGTCTCTTTATATTGATTTTGTAGTTACAAGTATCCAGAATACATTTTTTTCGCTTATTTATTTTCTGACAAATTCGAAGATATTTTCTCTTCAGCAAAAATTTCTTTTATTTATTTGTTTTGATATGATTGTAATTATCGCAATATTATCTTTGTAATCCATGCAGATAATAATTTATATTCACATGTATCATAATTCAGTGACTTGTTATTTTCTTGTCTTTTGTAAACAAGATATATTTTTGGAGTTAAATTTTGTAATATATTTAGTGAAACGCATTACAAAAATTATAGAATAAATGAAGACTTGTCTATTTCTTGCAGTATTTTTTCTTTAATTTTTTTTCTTTTAGGAAAATTATTTTATTCCCTGTGTGTGTAGAGAGGCCAATGTAGAGTTTCATATTTTTATAGATTTTCTATATCCATAGGCATTCAAAGAGGCAGCCGATGAATTTACAAATACCCATAAAATAGTGGTAGGCGAATACGAACTTCGTTATGGTATTAAAGCCTTAGAGGAAAAACGTTATAAAGACGCTTTAGCGCATTTTTCCGCGGGCGCTAAATTATCATCTCCCGGAAGCATGTTTAATTTAGGTCTATGTTACGAATTAGGCATTGGAACTTTGGCAGATCAAGCAAAGGTACATTCTAATATCTAGATAATATTTAGAGATGCGAGAAACAGCTTTAAAATATACGTCATTTAATCACGAAAATCTCTTTTCGATCCTTGCACGAAGATAAGAAAGATATTCGACTTATATAAAATTAGAAAATATGGACGATTTAAAAATGTGAAGAGAGATATACCTGCAAAAAAAATTATATAAAAGTATAATTTTCCTTCAGGCTGCAAAATATTACAATGATGCCGCGGCTCACGATCATGCCGATGCGTTATATAATTTGGGAGTTTTCCATGCCCAAGGAAGGGGCGGTTTACCAATCAATATTGATACCGCACGCACTTATTTCACCAGAGCAGCAAGATTGGGCCAGGTACAAGCGCAACATGCCCTCGATTTAGAAAAAGCTGAAATTCAATCAAAGAAAAATACCTCTCCTGTACCGAACATAAATCTTAAAAATTCAGGTTTAGATAAGAGTGACGGAAATGATACGCACGTTAAATTAAGCGATTTCACGTTATATACAAATGTTGATGACACGTTCAGTCCAATCACAAAGTCCAGCAAAGTATTTTTAGAGTTTCTTGGCTTAAAAGAACCTAGTCAAGCACCCATTATGATAAGTACCAACGATTGTCGCGTGCCATATTAAAAAGTACATTTGTTATCTTACAATTAGTGTAAGACCAAGTGGAATCAGGTATAGTGATATAGGATAATTCCTACTAGTATTATTTTATACAAATACTATGTTTTTATTTTTCTTTTTTTATCCGCATAGTATTTTTGCAGGAATATATTATAAGCATGCGATATCGATGCAATATTTGCTCAATTTACAATATATCGCAATATATTCAGAATTTTGCTGTAGATTCGAAATCCCATTCCCACATTTTTTGCGTATCATTACCTTCATATTTTTCATTCGAAAAGAAGCATTGTTTTATGCTTAGTGCTTAAAAAAAATTTTTTTTTTAATTTACATGTTATTCTATGATACATTATATCAATACATATTGATGATGTGATTTTTCAATGACTTTATATTTATACATATATAATAGTACTTAATTCTCGTGTTTGAGTTTGAACTTGACTGTGATGTGCGATCAAAAGAATTATGAAAATATACATGACACAAGACGACTGAAATTCGAAGATTGGGTATTATACCTCACAAAAACTTCCTAATCCGTGTAAGAACAGTAATAGTGTGACATGTGATAGATTATGATCGACATTTTTGTTGGATGCATGTTTCGTCTTACATTGAAAAATCTCATTTTATGTCTGAAGACGTATACTAGATTTAAGATTTTGTTTGGCACAAACAACAGTAATATTTAGCGATGTGCGCTTGTGCTATGCACAGTGCAGAAAGTGTATGTACGGGTATAGTACATATAGTATACATAATACAAAAATAATGTTTTTATAATTGTACAATTTTTTTAACATTATCCTCCTCCCAGACGAGATTACTGCAGTTGCAATTGTAGACTGCGCTTCACCAATGCGCATTACGTTGCAACACAGTTTTTCTCACAAACTCGCTATGATTGGCGTATAAATTTATTTCCTTATTTACGTCCATCCACCTTACATTACGCGCGTCATCTCCAGCCTTCAACGCGAGCTTCCCAACGACATTGTTTTCCTCGTCGTGAAAATTTATAGCCACCGTCTCCATCCAAGCGTTATCCGTATTTCGTGGGTCGTCTACATATCCCTTGTAAATCTCGTCGCCTTTCGTGAAGAACTCCATTATAGAATTTTGTAGGACCTTCCTCTCGGTGTCATCCATTTCCAGAAAGTTTAGCGCTTCCTCCATGAATTCTCTCATTAGAGTGGCAGAAACTGTCTCATTTGGATCAACCATACCCCCAGGTATGGCCCATTCTCCGGAATCACGTCTCTGTATCGCGACGAATTGTAATACAGGTTTTCCCGTGTTCTTGTTTATTTCCACGGTCCCCGTGTTATCGCGTTTCCATCGTGTGACGATAGGATCGGCAGCGTGATTCGGTCCCCAACGGCCGAGAAGTCCTCGGCCAACGATACCGGTTCGTCCCACAGGATTTAAGGGGTAACCATCCGCGTTCACGATATAGTCACCCGTAAAACTCTTTCGATTCACCTTGTCTGTCAAGAAATACATTTCAAATACAGACGCGGTAATAACTTGCCTCGCATGCGCAATATTGCTCTAGTCTACGTAAATTGATGTTAACCTAAGAAACGTGACTTCCACCATTTATTTTTCTTCCGTCAATTTTTCAATTCGTGACAATTGTTCTGAATTTATCAGTTAGACGAATAGAAAAAGGCTAATTACCGTCCACCGTGTTCCATTTTGGTTTGAAGGTGGGTTCGTTGATTTCTGGATCGGCCCAAGGTTTACCTTTGAGAACATTAGCGGTATATGCGACCGGTTTGTACTCGGGATAATCGACTGTCCACGGTACTCTTTCCTCCGGTACTGCAAATCTCTTTACGTTACTGGACGGATACAAACCCTGCCGACACTTTTGATGAAGCATTCTCGCGTATCTGATACTCTGGATACTCATTTAACTGTTCCTTCTAGAAAAGGAAAATCAATTGTGACAACAGCATGCTTGGCTACCTCCAGTGACGTAATTGACGATTCGTAGGCCTTGCATATCATGTATTATTTTTTTTTGAATTTGAGATAAAAAGAAGGCGAAACAGATAATGAATTTATCTGCCATAAATTATATGTATATTATCAATATATATTAGGGATCAAATAGGATGCAGAGAGAAATAAAAAATATTTCTTTATCAATTTATCTATATTTTTCACTTAAAAGGTATAGCGGACTATCAAATCTTCGAGTTATAGCATTGTATTATTTGATTGTCGATAGTATATCTTTTACATAATCTTGCGTAAATTAAATATGTGCGGCGTTATTAAAATAAAAATGATATTGGTTTTGCTATAATACTCTTATTACGTAAAATAAGTTTCAGCTTAAGACGCATAAGGACCTTTTATAAAATAGTAAGAAGTCTTATTCCATTTAATCCTTGGCATATGTATGGCATGATATCAAAATATGAATCTCACGCATTAAAGTAACAATACAATTATGTGTTATATTTACAAATATTGGCTTTTGTTTCCTCCGGTTTTCGAACGCGTACAAATTTTTGTAAAGTTTCCTCTTATTACAATTCGTTTAATTAACTTTTCACAAATCCTCTTGTATTTATACGCTGGAAGACTAGATTAGAAGTATCTATAAAATTTAACAAAACCCTAATAACACTTATCTACTTAGGTTGGTAAAAGTTCATTTATAATTAGTTTGAATGGTAATGAATAATACTTGCGCATGACGTACTATTAATGCCCATTCCTTCAAATAGCTCGAATAGTTCAGTGTTTGAAGTGATATTAGGAGACTGTCGAAAGTAAAATTTATGTCTCTGATGCACAAAATAATATTAAATATTAGTATATATAAAATATTTTTTCTCAATAAAATTTTCGAATAACTTCTATTAACACTTTTTATTAGTTTGTATTATTTTTTTTAATTAAAAATATAGATACGTTTTATATATAATTATTTTTACAATTCATAAATTTTGTGCATTTCTTAGTCAGAATATAAAAATTGAATTGTTCAATAAATTCAATAATTTTAAAAAAATATTATACATTATATAATAATATATAATATATAATTTGTATATAATAATATAATATAATATTATGTACATTATTATATAATATTATATATATATTATTATTATCATGAATCATTTTAAATCTTCAATCACACTTCAAATACTGAAACAATTGAAATAATTTTTCGTATGTCTTGCATTTACTAGATTCCATTATTTTTCTGCAGAAGAGAAATGAATCAAAGGACCTCATTCTGTGAAATCAATCTTATCTTGTTTCTAAATTAAAATGAACATAATGATTTATGGTGATATCTGTGACTTCTTGCGAAGTCCTTTCACTATTGTGAACAAGCATATGGCATTCTTGGAAAAAAATTACTTCGAGTTTAAAAAAAAGAAACTGCTCAAAAGTACTAGCGAAACTACAAAAAGTAGTCTGAATTTATATCATTGCATTAATAAAATTATGTAAAGTTTAGTAATTACGTTTTAAATTCATAATATTCAATTAAAGTATCTCTTATTTTTGTTATTTAAATACCTTACACATTTTTTAATCTACGTTTAGCTGTCTCGTTTATTTTTTAGCAGCAGTTCAATCTTCGCGTTTGTTTCTATTTTCTGAAGTTATCGTTCTCACATTTCCATACATTGAAATGCTTTCTAATAAGGTATATTATCTAATGTATGGAGAAATTTTCTATTATAAAATAACGTACAATCATTAAACATTTCCAGAACACATTAATTGTAAAAAATGTCAATGTGGTATTTCTAATTTATATCTTATTTACTTTATGCATTATTCATTTATTTTTAGTTAAGAATTGTTCTGATTTTAGGCACAGTTTCTTATGAAATAATCTCTCGTTATAATTATTAAAGACCAGAAATCACTATATTCTCGTGTTACGTCAAGATAGAAAATTCGATTCTCTCGTGGAAATTTGCTTTATAAATAGGTATCGATCAAACGCCGTGGTCAAACTCGTGATATCCTTCTGCTCCGGTAAACACAACGTCCACCCAAACACGCATAGCTTCCGGGCTGGGTGCCATGAGATGGTAAAGTCTTGACGTAGTCTTGACGATAAAGGTGAGGGACGGTTGTGGCGATCGGACGGTGTTCATGTGGTCCACATAGACTTCCTCGATCGACTACGATGTATTAGTGCCGAATTAGTTGACGTCAGTGTTAAAATTCTTAATAGAGAAGTTCTCGACCTTCCTTACCTGGAAGTAAATCACACCGCGAGCCTTCCTGGACGTGTTATCGCTGTAGTAAGATAATGTCTTCCGCCTGCGATCAAAAACGAACCATCGCTTGTTCCAGTGATGAAACTTTTTGCTCATCTTTGATAAATAACCACTGCAACTTGTTGTATCGACCGTAACATCATAAATCAGAGGTAACTGATGCCCGGCAGTTTCTATGTGATGCCGTAGATCCAGGGATTCAGATTTGATCGGGAGGTACCTCGTGAGTGGCCTCTGTAAAATTCGTCATTCGTTGAATTTCGATTCATTAACATCAAAATAATACGCTGAACAAATTAAAGCTTTCTCCATACAAATAAAACAGAATCGCGATATTAAGAAAGTATATCTGTGGTAATTTCTTCGAGTAAAAGCCGAACTTCTTTTCTGAAGCAATCACTTTTTAACAGTTCTTGTCTATCGCTCGTATCATGTTTTTACACAAATAACTAATCAATAAATTTTAGGGAATTACCTGAAGTTTTGCCTTTTCGCGATGTTTGACAGATTGCAATGGTCCAAGGGTATCCATCTCGCTAGATGTCTGAGAAAGGGGGCGGCTTCCATTTCCGTCGATAATTCCGCCACCACCACCGCCACCACCACCACCACCACTATTGTCACTAAGCCTCTCACCTTCCATCGATGTTCGCCTGTCGTCTCTCATCTGGAAATAATTCACGAATTCTTGTTATTCTGTTTTATCAATTTTCAGTAGTATCTCAAAAATATTTGCTGCGTACAATTTTCAATATTAAACAAAAAATTAAAAAAAATAATATATAAATTTCAATTAATAATATTTTTAGTATTAAAGCTAATATTATTCTTGCATTAAGTTTTTCACATACATGTTTGCAAATTTCACGTTTCCGTCTGATGTGTCGTTTTTTTGTTCTGCCTTTTAGGTAATTCATCCATATAAGCGACATCATATTATACACAATTCAAAAAGTTTATCTAATTTTGCGAAAATCGATGACAAAAACTATGCGGAGATATTTCGTTTACACAGATCCGAACAGATGACGGAGAAAGACTGACGCTCACTGACGCTGGTGACTCAATGGTCCAGCGATATATTTCCCGCCGTAAAATGTAACTATACGGACTCCCACTCACACGCCACATGCCGTGAGCATCAAAATTCTCCCGCACAATAAGTTTCGATTATTCATTCATAAAACATGCCACGTGAAAGGTGTCGAATAACAGATTGCTGAAATATACGATAAGAAACGATTTCGTCTCTATAACATGAAATATAATACTCTCTATATAAATGCAATTGGATCATATCCGATATTGCTGTCAAAAATAAATCAAATTTCGACAAATGATTGATAGAAATTAGTGAAGATCGAATTAATTAAATCTTTATTATCTAAAAATCATTACACCTTAGATAATTAAGCAATGAGCCAATATTATTATATAACATTCACGTCAAAAGCTTGTTTTTTTTTTTTTAAGTGATTTGCTATTAGTAGTTGTTGAGTGGTTTAGGCAAGATGAGAAATTCTGTCAGCTCGGCAAACGCGGTGACTCATCACAAATATACTAATTTACTGCAGACATTTCACTTCAGCTTAACTCAATGCTAAGTAAAGTGGTAGGAATGCAAGGAGTAATACGTGAACGTTTTTCTGTGAAGAAATAAAACTTAGACCGTACTATAAGAAGTACATTTACGCGCGTTAAAAATTTAATTCGTAAAAATGTCTACTGTTTTTCATTGCTAGAAATTTAAATGTCTATTTAATTAAATGCCTGAAAAATGGCACAAAAGCTTGTCGTAAGTCTATGATAAATATATCTATATCAAGAAAGAGGTCAATTGCAAAAGAGGCTTATAAATTCGATGTCATCTGTCGTCATAAATTATCGCTGCAGGCTTAATCGAGACTTTACAAAAGCACATTTATAATCGAAGTACAAGCTACTCTCTGAATGCCGTCCAACCAGCGGCATGTTCGCGTATCAAGACTCAGATGCCACATGCCGCATTGGGAAAAACACGTGTGCAATGACGAAAACACTTGCTCCAGAATGCAAATGGATATACTTGCGAAATGTCAGTGTCGAAAAGCGTACGTCTCCGGCGCGATGGCGGGCCAAAATGCTACGCGGACTTCCGGCGGCAACAAAAATACGTTGTTTTTAAATGCACACGAGAGTGTACTCTAACAAGATGATCTCTTTCAACTGTCAAAACATTTGATGAAATGTATGAGAATGTAACACGAACGCTCTACACGAGAGAAAATTGCATAGCCCGTTCATCGCAGCTAATACAGTGAATTTTTACTATCAAATGTTTGTTTCCGTGCGTTAGCCCCGATGACTCAAGTTATTTTCCAAACATTTCAAATGTTAACAACATTCCTTTCGAGTATTTCAGTTGATTCACACTTCTCGTAAACCGCCCCGTACAAGTAGCTATTCACCCACAGAATTTCTTGGACACGTAACACGGCTATTCTTTGCATCCGCCTGGCACGTGAAGTTTTTTAGAATTATGAGATAAATAGAATAGAAAGCAAAAATATATATGTATAATGTGTATATATATATATATAATTCAGTGTCGCCGATCGTGAAATGAGAGAGCGCAAAAATTGAAAGAAAAGAAAAAAATAGAGAAAAAACGAAAAAAGAAACGAGTAAAGATAAAGAGAAAAAAAAGATACTATTTATAATTATTTATGCTATATTATCCTCGTTATATAATATCTTCTAAAAACGTACTCAATAATTGAAGATTCCACGTTAGAAATGAAAGTTTCACATCTTCAAAATTTATATTCGTATAAAGTTGCGTATTAAAAAAGAGATCAATAACTGATGGTTTTCGCACACTAAATAAATCCACGACACAAATGCGTCTCGAAGCAAGAGAAATCCCACTTGCGGGAACACTGAAAAGTTTTAGAAGAGCAGACTTGTGTCGAGAGACATTTCTTTGAACAGGTGTGCGATAAAATCCACACGAGCAGAAATAGACTGAAGATGGACTCTCGCTTACTTGACGTAACGTCTTACGCGTATACCTACGTTGCGTATGTATTTGGTAACGTTTGATTAAACGATAAAATATTTTGGGATTAACGTGTACCTATTAAAATACAAGTTTCTTGGAAAGGAACTGTATACGTTCGTCATTCCATGCACAGCATCTCGAAGTGAATTAAGATATAAACTTTAATTTAATCTAACGTAAAATATGCTTTTTATGCTATATACTCACGTTGTCATTTTGAAGTAAACTATAAGAATTATTCGACGGTCCCGGACTGGATGAAGTAAGTTCCGAAAGTTTGCTAGGAGATAATTTTTCGCTGTTTCCACCTTCCGCACCGTCAGTGCTTCCGCTACCACTGGAAAAGTAAATTGATAATAATTAGTTTCAATTACGTTGCAAGTCTATGTGATTTAATCATAGTAAAACTTTTAATTAAACTATCAAAAATTAATCTATATTTCGTCATTATCTTTTGCATCTTCGGCAATACTTATTAATTTACTATCAAAATGTTAAAGTAATAATAAATTGATTTACTAAATTAATACAAAAAATGTACCCTAATATAGAAAATTATGGATAATCCAATTGATAGTTCTTATTGTCATCGCGTAACACATCGCAGTTCTTTCGGTACTGTCAAATCGTTTACACTTTATTTATACTTGATATGAAACTTCTCGCTGACACATTTAGTGGGCGTTATTATTAACTAGAGCGTGAACACACTGAATGTCGCGAATTTTATACGGCGTCTTCGACATTCTCGTGAAAGAAACACGGTACACTTCGAAAACCTCAGTCCTAGTCCCTGAGCATCGCGAGACTGAGGAGAGGATGAGGCCCATAGTCGACTATAGCGAAAGGCAGGTATTATTAAAACCTAACAAGTACAAAGTGACTCGGTAGACCGGTTCGACGATACCACCGGCATAGCATTTAATTCTTCTACAATGTTAAATGCAGCGCGAACGATACCCGAACATTCCGATCTCGTTGCCATGCCAGCCTCGGCCTTGGTTGACTAGAAACGTTCCCTTGTTCCCGATAACTGACCCCTGATTCTAATACAGTTCGTTTCTATAATTTTATTTTTCTCTATTTTTCTATATTATTCTTCTTTCATTCGTTAACGGCTCTTGAATGAACAAAGCTTTATGCCATGTGTGCTACAACGCGTTGCATGTATATGTAACAGTATGTGTGAATGACGCATGTATCATAATCTAAACCATTTAAGTCGCCTTAAGACAATTCTACTTAAAGATATATCTTGTGATCCTGAATGAAGAGTTACCATGATTGGGTACAAATATTTTAGTCATGCAAGAATTTAAATATGTTTATAAAGATGATGTAGCAGAAACATTTGTAATTTGTAATTAAATCTTTTTTAGAGAATAGCTCATCTGTTAATGTTTATATGCAAATTATTAATATATGCAGTATAAATTACACAAACAAATACACATACATACAGGCATTCATACACACAAATTGATCATATCGTCTTTGAATGCAACTGTGTCTGTGTCTATACCATTCACTTACGTCGCGCGCATAAATATATTATGACGTATTAAGAGTCAAAAGGTGAGTGTTGGTTTACTTTTTGCAACGTATCGTCTTGTTAGATTCATCTTATCTTAATTGTAACGTGTAACATACATATTTGTACATATTATCGACATAATAATTAACGCAATATTTTTATTTTATTTTAATTAAAACTGTTATTTCTAGTTTTTTTATCAAATGATTTATTCTTTTATTTACTTCTTTATTTTCTACAATATATAAATACTTTGAAAAGAATTATTTAAAAAAAAATTAAACGCGCATGCTTTTTAGAATTTATAGTCTCGCGTTAAATTATCCTTTGAAGATTTTGAATCGTCTCGTAAATTATCAACCGGTATTGTTTCTAACAAAAAAGACGGATTTTTTTCAAAAATTAGTGACTCACAAATAACGTTGACGAATATCGCGCGCGTGAACTTCCAGAGGACGATAACAATTGTCGCAGATCCAATCTTTAGTGCAGAGGTAACAACGATTACTAGTGAGGAAAGTGATCAGGTTGCATCCCGTAACTCTGGCCTCGTTCAGCACCATCTCACCCATTTCTCTGGGGTTCATTTTGGATCATTGTCGACGATAGCTACCGAACGATACTACACATTCTTAATTCCTTTTGTTAATCGCGAGTCGTTATTCGTTTTTTATATTTATCACGTTATAATGTTTCGAAGATTCCCGCATTTTTCGTAGATTTTCCGTACACGACACGTTAACGCGAGTAGAACCGCGAGAAGACATACAGCTACACGCAGATAGCGTATCGCGCGATAACGCCCCGCCTACTTTGCACCACGAGTGTAGACTCGAGCCGAGTGCCGATCAAACTAACACGATATGCGGCCCTCGCACGTAATTAGTAATTGCTCTTAACAGTATCTTGGATATTGACAATAATGCTAATAGTGAGAATGTGAGACCAATAATAATAATAAAAATTCGCCGATTCACTGATAAATTTCACAAAATACAGTTTTCTTGATTTAATTTCTAATTTATTTATATATCTTTTACATTATGATAAAAAGAAGATTGGTTTTCGAAGAAACTGAGGGGGCAAGTATATTTTATCATGGAATATCTCAAGTGCTTATTCATCTATGCTTATTGCATCGTTGAAAAACTTTGATTTTATATCAGACGTATCGGATACACTCAGACTACTATAAGCTGACACACACAATGTTCGAGGCGTGTCGATGAGGAAGGTTTCGTAATAAGCTTCAATCAACGATAGAAAGGTCGTTGCGATTAACTGCAGCACTGCGCGATAATGTGCGCGTCTTGTATTACACATACTTCGTGGCACAAATGTATCAATGCACCCAAAAATATTTATATATGCATTGATTTTTACGAGGCATAATAAATCTCCGCTTGTAACGGGATACTGTTCATCGTTTGTACAAATATAATACATATTTAGGACACATTTAAGTGTTATTATTGCGAAAGAATGTAAATAAAAAATGTGCTGACACCATTCTTCGTCTATTTATAAAGAGATATAAAGAAGATTGAAGAATCATAAAAAAATAATAATTTTAAATATTGAATTAATTAAAAAAGTTACGAGTTATTAAATTTTTGTTCTTAAAATTTCGAATCATGTGACACGTAAGATAAAAAAAAACGAATTATTTTCGTTAGACTCACCTTTCTGTTGGTCCAGTGGAATAACTGGAAGATTCTTCGCCAGATTCAACGCTGTTAAAAGACGCACAGTTCATTTTTCTCTCTTCCCACTGCGAACGGACTTCATCCTGTACTCGTCTTTTCAATTCTTCGACTCTACGTCTCTCTTCCGAGATTACTTGACTCCCTGGAAAAATATCATAAAATATTTTTATTTTTGCTTATTCTCTTTATATTACATGTATTGTAAAATTTATCGATTTGAATAATTCGCACCTTGTTTAGCTAAGTGCAGTTGCCGATTTCTCTCGATTTCTTTCAGCGATTCGATTGTCTTTCTTCCTAAGCTGCCTTGATTGTTTACGATAGGAGAATCGTTGGTCACTCTGGAGATTCTGTCAAAGTCTTCTCTACTCGGTGACCGTTTTTCTTCGGAATATTCAGCAGAGTTTTGGGCCAGATAGCCGAGTTCTTCATTTATCTCTTGTACTCGATTTCGAGCCTATCACAATCATAATCGTTAATTAATTAACGAATAATACATTAACGCACGATACATTAACCCGCTAAGATGCAACATGTAATGCGATATGTTTAATTGTGACTTGATAATTTTTTTATACCGCAAAAAGTTATGAAAGAGTTGCATTTGTAGTCTGATTTATCGTTCATGCTTGAACTGGTATCGACTTTAGTGGATTAATGTTTCTTATATTGTTATTTCATTACTAACTTCTTCTAATCGCTTCAAGTGTCCCAATTTTTGTCTCTCAAGACTTCTAGCCTCTTTGGTCGCCGTGTTCTTTGCCTCGGACCGCTGCGATTCTAGATGAGTTAATTGCAATTTTCTGCCTTCGATCTTGCTTGTGAGGTCGCTCAAGTATCTGCAAAAAAAAACATGTATATGACGTATATATTAGGAAAAGTAAATATGCTATGATGATTATATACCTTTGTAGCTCTTCTCTCGTGGCCAATTTACTCGCTTCTTCTTCGAGATGATGAAACTCCAAGTCCTCGAAAGCTTTTCTTTCGCTCTCTAAGATATCTTGTTGTGTCGCTAACTCGTTCGTGATATCCAGCTGCATAATCTCATCCGTGCAATTGGTCAATTGTTCGTCTAACCGAGCGCAAGCTTGTTGTGCCTTTTGAACACGTTGTTTCGCTTCAGCTTGCAAATTCGAATGAGTCGCATTATCCTCCGCCATTTCTCTCTCCAGCTCATTTATTCGCATTTGCACCTTTATCCTCTCTCCTTCATCTTGCGTGAGCTTCAGGGATTCCGATTCATACTCCGCGGATAAAAGCGCTTTCTCCAATTCGAGCTGTCAAACAGTAAGCAAACATTGATTTTTAATATTTTTGAGTTTGTATCTAATACTCATTGTACTAGTTTTCTAAATCCAGCTTTACTGAAAAATAAGACAGACATTCGCAAGATAATCGCTTACATCGTTTTATTGTTTCGTAGATTGCGTGAGAAAAGAATTATAAATGATACGGCGATGATATAACCGCAGATGAGCTTCCTTGTGCGGAAATAAATCGAAATAAATCTTCTTAATAGTTTGTTCTTGAGAAATTCGAGCTTAAAAATCCGTTTAAGTGTGTGTACACTTGGCTTTTAATCCGTGACTCTACAGACTAGTATTCTTATATTTGACCTCGAGAGTTTCTAAACATTGACCTGTTTTGTTTTCTTTATTACCTTACTAACTTATTGATTCGTAAATGTATCACATTTGACAAATATTCAAAATCAATTTTCTTGAAATTAAAGCTTTGGAAGATTCTTCTACAATTTCAATTTATTTTTGCATGAGAAAATTATCTATCCGCTGTTATATCATTGTTACTGTTGCACTCTGTATATGAATATTGTACACTGAATATTAAATGACAACTAACTAGATACCGCAGAAATTACAGAGTGTACCTACATGTTAACTGGAGAAACGACGTTTAAATGTAGATAATGAAGATTATCTACAGTTCGTCGCTGATATAATTATTATTAATTACAAATATATGTGTGTGTATATATATATGTGTATATATATATATATATATATATATATATCTTATTATCTAATAGAACGGATACTTACAATCGGATGTCTTAGTATCCCACATGCCCAGAAAGAGATAAAGAGAACAAATAAACAACTTATTTAATATACGATACGCGTGATGTAACAGTGAGAGAACTATAAAATCTTTTCAGTCTTGCTTATATTATACATATAATAGTAACGTAAGAATGAAAAAAATTACCTCTCTACTAATTTCTTCCTCTTGAATTTCAATTTCGGCGACACTTCTTTTCAAAGCATCCATGTTGCCAAGAACGTGTAACTTTTCGTTCTGCAAAAATTCTATGTATTTTTTCCTGTCTTCCTCTTCCAGCTGTTTTCTCTCTTTGTCGGCTTTCGCTTCGTTGGACTTCGTATTATCGATTTCAGAATTGTTTCGCTTAGGTGTCACGCAGATTTCTTTGGATTTCGAGAGCATCGACAATTGCTCGATCGCCTCAAGAAGATCGTCGTTCGATATGGCCAGTTTGTTTTCTATCATCTCACACGAATTTGACAACTGACTGTTTTTCTTTGGCATGGAATGGTTCTGATTGTTATTCCGCGTCGGAGATAACACGATGTTTTCGTAAATACTCGCGTTCCCGTTATGTGTCGCTTGTTGTGGTTCGATTTTCGCTCCGTTCAGTCGAATAGTTCCGTACGCGGACGGCGAGCCTTTGGTATCGTCATCAGCCTTTATACAGTTCCCCGTTCCTCCGGTGTAACTGCCGCTCTTTTTATCATTATTGCCGATGATAACGTTTTCGTAGTTGCCGCCACGAGAAACTGAGCCTGAAAAGTAGCTGCCATTCGTACTATGAGCATTAGAGTACTTCGCCGATTGACTACTACTCGGTGTAGTTGCATGTAGCGATCCTACGGAAACGTCACACGAATGATTTTCAACTTGAGCAGATTGATCCTTACGACTGGCGGGCGAATTGCCATTTTGAAAGGTGACTTTAGAATTTTGCACAGATATGTTCTCGTACGACGAGGTACTCCAATTTTGCTTGCCAACATCGAAGGAGAAATGCGGTTGATTTTTCGACGGGCTTTTCGGACTGTCGAATGAAGTATAGCCAAGTCTCTTGTCACGCGGAAGAGATCCGTTTGTTATGATTCTGCAAAATATATTATTGGATAAATATATTTTCTATTTCCTCTGCAAATAAATGACTCCAAATATCTGGACATTTAATATTATAAAATAAATTTCTATATACTTTCTATAATCTCTATAAATCTTTTTCATCTTCTATTTCAAAAAACGACAAAGAAAATTATCAGAAAAAAATTAATTGTAATATAAAGGGAATAAAATTGAAATAAAATACGATAGTTACCGATTAGGCTGCCTCGGCTTTTCGACGGTGCTTTGTCTTTCGTATTCGGCACACATTGCCAAGATCTCCTCGAGCCTCATTTTCTCTTGCCTCTCGACCTCTTGCTCCCGCAACCTCTCTTCCTGCGCTTGTTTCCGCTTGGTCTCCGCCTCCCTGCGTTTATTCTCCGCGTCTGCTTGCCTTTCTCGCAATTCTTCAAGGGAGCAATTGCTGCCGACACTTGGGGTAGGACTCTTGACCCTCGCGCATATTCTCTTTTGTTCGCTATATCTTGGATTCCGATTAAATGCCGGACTTGGTGGCAGAATTCGCTTAACATTTGGATTCGAGCCGAACCCGTGAGCGGTGGATGGCCTCAAGATTCCGACGTTAGCATCTCCGCTGGTTTTAGCGTTACAGATACTCGGATTCGATCCGTATTTCTCCAGTTGCAGAAACTCTGTGGTAGTCGTTTTCGTGACGATAAGGCTTTGGCTCATATCGAAGTCTCTGTCGACGAGATGATCGAGTTCGTTCGAGCTCTGACAAGTCATACTTCGAGACATCAAGTCGTCGCTTCGAGTGGTGACGATCTTTGGAGAAGTCATCCCAAAAGACGGCGATCGTGCGTTTTTGTTGTTATTCTCTTGATGCGGTTTGCACGTTTTCAGGTACGTCTCTGCCGCGTACATCCTAATCTGATTATGATTTTGGCACTGCAAATTGACTGCATTCGTTCGAGTTGGCGTACTGAGACGCGAGTCCGATCGCTTACGAGCCTCGTCGTGATAACCGATCGAGTTTTGCGAGGCCGGGTCGACGTTACCGTTCACGGTGAAACCGTTCACCGGAGATTTCGTCAAGGATACCAGACTCGACGATCTCGAATGACCGAGGATTTGGTCGGCTGGTACATTCGTCGTGAGAGCACCGACGGGAAAAACCTTCGGCGAAACGCAATTGGTTCTGTTTTGCTTCGACAACATCTCGAACTTGGTCAGCTTACTTAGAAAACCCATCTCGTCGTCGGAGCAAGAGTTCCTGGGAGATTTCCGCGGTGCAACTGGCGGCTTTCGCTCCAAGTGATGATTCTCCTGCGGCTGACCATCGGGAAGAGCGAAACTTATCGGCGCCATTGAGATTCTCGAGTGGGGAAAGACAGATCGTAGGTGTTTAGCCTCGGCTGGATGATTAAAACGCATGTAGTTCGACCGACCTATTGATAGCATACAACCTGAAACATTTAATGCCTTTTGTCTTTATCGATAATTACGACAAACTTTAAGTATACATTCGTAACTTTGATCTGTATAAAGAATATAAGTTTTATTCAACTTAACTAAACGGATTTTAATACGATAAATAGAAATAAATAGAAAAAAATATTTCTATTCTTCACGCAATAATGTTGCACCAATATCGAGACGTTTGTAATCAAAATATCATTTTTGCCAGTATGAAGGACCTTCTCTTTGTTACTCTACTGTCTTTTTAGGACGTCTGCGAATCGGTCACGGTCATTCGTATTTAGGCCAAGGTCTCTTACCTTGCGCGAGTCTCACTGGCGAATTTATCGATACACCATCGACAAATGTGTTGCCATTTATGGGATACAAAGTGACCACACCATTATTATTCTCGATAGCACAATGCACGGGTTCGACGCCGGTACCGGCCACCAAAATGTCCGCATCTCGGTTTGATCCAAGCGTGATCTTACCTGTGTGGGAAACGAAAAAGGAAAAGAATAAATTTATTTCTCGAATAATATCAAGAGGCAAAAAGCGTTCAACTTCTTTCTCGTCTTGAATTCGGTAACAGCCAAAGTCATTCACTTCTGAGAAACGGTTTGTATTTTTCGAACGTAAAAGATGCGCGAGATAAAAAAAAAGCGACGCGAAGAAAATCAGGAAGCGTGACTAAATATCGCTTGCGCGTATCTTACGGTTGAATGGAAACCAGGCGAGCGCGTACGCATTCCGATCGAAATTCTCGCGGGCTTAGTAACGCACTTCCCCACGTAATATGAGTAATATGAGATACATTTATTTTGGCATCGATATAATCGGATTCTCGAGCTCATCCGTGGTACCGTTTCACGGAAGCTCCGATTACGAAGGGCGCATGGAACTCGGCTTTACAATATTAATTTGAGCCTTCTGGGAATGTCAACGACCTGGCGGTCGCGGCGAGGATTGCCGGATGTATTCTCCGCCAGATACACAGAATTTCGATTTACACGATGTGTAAGTACGGAATTGGAACGAATTATTGTCAAACTAAAATACACTTCGATTCAAGTACAGAAGTTTTATTATGCATTTGCACTGTTGAAACTGAATTTGCTAAAACTATGTGATATTTTTGACGATTTAAAAAAAATACTGTAAATCGTAAATGCGTACGGAGAGCAGACAGGATTTTTCACAGCCGTATGAAATCGATTCTCGACAGATCAACCAACAACTCGCACTTAATTTCCGTAAAATAATTCTAGATGTGCTCTGTTCTGCGCGACGCGGGTAAATCGTGGTGCATTCTACGAAGGACTGCAGTTATATTTAGTTTTAGCGCGGTCGTGCACTCTCTCGTTGCATTTTCGGTCTTTTTGGAAATGTGTTGGCCACGATGCGCGTTGTAGGGAATATATAAGTGTCCGACTGTACCTATAGGCGCATAATTTAAGCGACGGTTGAACTAATTTTTTCTCTCCCGGCCGTGTTCCGGGGTGAATCAGAAAATGTTCGGCATTCGCAGGAGTATATGTGATATATTAATTCATATGTTGCTTAAATTAGAGATACTTATTTCCAGAATACTTGTTTGTAAGTTGCAACCGTTAATTATTACGTCCAGTCGAGACATGTATAATACATTTTTACTGAAAACATGAAAATCTATTTAAATCATGCACGAAGATAAGACCGATATCTGCTGTGGAAATACATTGTCTTGTTCGGAGAAAGTTCTTCGTGATTTCAAAACGAAACACGGTCATAAATTCCAAGGAGATGCGGTGTTCCGACGTATGTATAAACGAGCTGGTGGATAGACAGACAGGTGCACAGAGAAAAAGTAAACGTCTACGACATACGTTAGCGTCCCATTTTCAAAATCTCGATATAATTGATAGAATTCTGGCTCTTGTCCAAAAAGTGCTATAGAGTTCCTATATTTTAGAAATAATTCTCGCAATTAAACGATAAAAACAAATTTTTTCTTCACATTTTTAACGCTAGGGCGAAAATTTCCCAAAAGTTCCCATGAGAAATCAATTTTAGTTTATTATTAATTTATTATTCTATTCTTTTATAAACTAAAGTCTATTGAATCTATTGGACTCACAGATTTATAAGAAAAGCTTGTTTGCCGATGGAGTTGCGTTACTCGGTCGTCATAGCGAACGGAAGATAACTTCCTGTCAATCAATTTCATCCTACACGTCCTATCTTCATACAAATGTTACACAGGTACATGCATCCGCCCCAGGTAGTTTTATTCGCGTCAGATCCATATTATGTACTTGTTCGTATTGTTTTCTGCTCTCTATTCTCTTCTCTCGATCGTTTATTCACGTTTATTCCTTCATTTTATAAAACTCAAGCTTGAAGACTTTTCTGAACAACCTAAAAATTATTTGGAGCAATACGAATTTTGATTCCAAACGATTATTTTACGCTCGGTTGTATGACGCATCGACTATATTTAAGGCACTCTAAAATACACGAACTGTAAGCAGTACACAAACTGCCCAATTCTTGTAATCGGCACCCGTTTCCCATAGAATCTTATTTTTCTTTCAAGTTCCGGGATCAGTAATTTAACTCCGTTATAATGTTGCCTGTGTTTGTTTAATCTGTTCGCCGTTTTACGAACCGCGATATTGTTTCAGTTCACTATCGTCGCCTGTTTTTACTGAAACGGAAATGTAGGTAAAGCTCCCTGAGTTTCTTAAAACGGCTCTGTTCATTGAGAGAACAACCTTTATGTACATTTATACACCATGCAAGTCTCTTTTGTGTCTACACACACACACACATGTATTAATGGCACATAAAGGCTAAAACTGAGCTCGAGGTGTTGTACAGTCGCGGATGTTACGGTCTCGATATTTCCTATCGTGGATATTTCAACGTTGGACGTAATGTCTGTGGTCGTTGATAAACATATGTTTAAAATTGCATGATGAAATAAAGATTTTATCGTCGATCCTTCTCGGCACACTTAATTTTCTCACAATAACGAGGACGAGAGGATGATATATCTGCGCTCGATTTTTCTCTTTCCCAAGCTATTCCACTTACTGCTACAAATAGTAGTAACTTCTATCAGTAAAGCCGATGGCGCCGTAAAGCTTTATCAGTTTGGACAACGCTATTCGAGCCTTGGGATTAAAAACAGCGGATGAATCACTGATTACGTGAAAATTTATCTGTTGCTACCAACCCGATTTTATTTCGTTCGTTTCACGTAGTTAACAGGAAAATTTCACACGAATAGAATAAATTATTAACTGTAACGAATTCTATTTTGTTTTTGTTTTTGTTTTTTAATATAATATGCGCTTTCAAAATTTAATACGATTAAATGTGAATGTCATAAGTTGATCAATAGCAAGTCCACGCGATGGGACTGCTCGTTCAAGAAAGAAGAAACGAAATAAACAGTCACAGATCGCAATTGTATCTAACCTTCGGGTAAAGGATGTAAAGTCACGGCCGTCGACAGTCGACCGCTTCCCATGGAGACGAGATGCGGTGTTTCCGTTTGCACGCGTAACGCCCGGCCCGCTTCGTGCACCTCGAGACCGGCGGCCGCTATGCTCGCCATGCCTACAAAACAAAAGCATTCGTAATAAATGCGCAATAAATTAGCAGGTGAAGCGGAGAGACTGGGAGATGGGAAATGTAACGATCCAATTCCATCAGTTCTCGCGCCGCAAACGAGATCCCATATCGTTTCTTGTTATAGCCACGCAATTAATTGACTTCAGTATAGCCAAGTATATATTAAATGATTCGCAGAAACGCGATATTAGAGAAGAAAACGCGCGATATTTTTAATATAATATCAAGAATTTTTACGACATTATAAATAATGTGCAATAGTTCTGCCAGGATCGAAATAGTTGATAGCTCTGAGTGCCTCTGAGAATTTGCATGCCCACCGGGGGACACCATTAAAATTACGCTGCTCGATGCCGGACATATACCACCTAGCGGGAAGAAGGTTTACCGAGCCTTATATTATTAGCTACAACGAACGATCTCGTCGAAGATTATGGCTATCGTTTCGAGAGAGAGATCGATCCAGATGAGTTCTACGAGCGAAGCTTCACATTGGCGTATAAGAATGGGGAGGGTTGCCCAAAAAGAAAAAGCAGGGACGAAAAACCGGTCTTTCCGAGACGGGAAAGGATTTTTCTATCTTCTTCTTTTTTTCTTGCTCCTTGCCCCATCATAAACTTCGTCTACGCCAGGGGTTCTTAACCTTTTTGCGACCTACTGCATCTTCTGCAGAGATTTGTGATATATCACGCCTATACTGAGATAATTTTGTTGGTCGTTACTCTATTTATTTTACTTAATAAATCCTCTTACTCGAGTCTGCCATAATTAATACATTTGGATATAAAAGATGTTTAGAAAGTTTCGGTCAAGCTGAAAACTTATTGTTGCAGTTGACGGTACACTAGCACGCCGTTTAAAGGGTTGTTCATCTCATGTGAAGGATCTTAACGAGTTGAAACAACTTTAATTAAGCGCATTACGTTAGGCCGGCCCGTTGAACTTTGCTAACGTGTCTGACCACGAGGAAGTAATGCATCCCATTTGCAATTTCTATATCAAGTTGCTTATGCAGTGAAAACGTATAAAAATGCATAGAGGATAAAATAATGTAACGCAATAAATTATTCATCCTCGCAAACTCATGTCAGAAAGAGAGAAATCCTTGGAGATGATTTTTTAACATTTCTAAAGATTTTTTAATTTCTACACTATTGAATTAGTACTAATTAAAAAATGCAGAAAAAGATCTTCAAAATAGTAAGGAAAAAATTGAATTTAAATTTGATGGAAAATACGTTTTTTTTTTTTTTTTAATTGATTCCACTTTATTATTGCTCGTAGCATTTTATGAAGAACGATATTTTCATATACGAAATTTTAGTGGTTTACCCTTGCGGTTGAACGACTAAACGGCCAGCTCGTGGCGCTATAATGTACAGTTGTGCACTGCACCCACAATCTGCTTAAATTACACCTCCTCGGATTTCATCGGTAAGTAATTTAAAGCCAACGATTAAGACGTCGGGTTTCGTTGAATTTCTTAGCTTGAAGCTGAGATCTTTATGAGGAAGTCTTATCATTATCTCTGGGCTCTCTGCGTGTGCACCGAATATCGCGACATCGTCACTTCTCTCGCGAATGCTAACGGAGACTGCTGATAGGTCAACATTGGAAATCTGGTAGGTCATCGGCTTATTGCGCAGCTCAATTTCTTCGGCTGAACGCGCGAACGAGCGCTCTTGGAAATCGTGGTCGGATCGATATTCGCGCTGTCTCTCGTGGTCGGAATACCAGACTGGAGCATTTGATAAGATACCCGATAATAAATAACACGCACGCACGCACATGGAGTGCGTTAAATCAATGAAATCGAACACGCTTAATTCGCTATAATTTTAAAGCATTAGAAGGCGCGAAAGGGATGCTATAATTCTAGAAAAGAGACACTACTGTTAATATAAATACATTACAAGTTTATCATGACACTTAATTAAAATTAGTCGAGGCATCGAAAGTGCAGGTGTATCTATCGTCCTTGCGAGTTCGCTCTCGCGTGACTCTGTTCCAACACCTGTCTATGTGCAGGTGAATCGACGATGAAAATGTATGAAGAAATGTATGAAAAAGTTGAAAATACTAAATTAATAATCTAAGTTTAATTCATTAGTAATCCAGATATCTAACTTATATTCATTAAAAGAGAATGCTTAAAATAATTAAGAAGGAAAAGGAGAATTATTGAAAGATCTGTGTGTACCATAAATTATTGAGAGTTTCGAATAATTTTCACGAAGATAAACCTGACAAATATCGAAAATAAATAAGAGCAAATTCCTCGCGAGTTTTCAGCTATATACGGTCACCAGCTTCTGACAACATATTAACGTCTGCAAATACAGTTGGTAAACGGCCTTGGATATTTCATTTCACCCGTTTCTCGATGATAATCTTTTTCCGTCGCGTCAGTCTTTTTCGTACGGATCGAAAATATTTTTTCGTACCGCACGTAAACAGCGTAATGTAAGATCTTGCGCACCGAAAAAGGTAGAGATATAGGTATACGAAGGGAGCGAGACACGGCAGGCAAATGGCGAACGCAAATGTTTGTTCGCACGCGAGATGATAGCACACAATGATAACGTAGTTTCGATAAAAAACATGTAATCACGCCTCTACGTGCAAATTACACCTAGGTATCTTAATTTTAGATTAGATTACAGCGTGAGTTATAATTCTTGTAAAGAAAACGCGATGATTTTCCGTGACGAACGCAGCAAGGGATGATGTAAGTAAGTTAATTAATCTGGGCCGCTGCCACCGACACACTTTTTTGGTAGAGCTCGTCTCAATGGGTCAACGGTTTGCTCTCTATTAGCGACAGTTAACACGCCAGTATAAACGTTTACCGATGACGTCAGTTGCGCCACACGCGGAATGATTTACAAAGATGCCCCGCCATCCGCGACGCCTAACAGAGATATGAGCTTTATCTTTATCGTTCGCGAGATGGGTGGACCAACTTGATACTCGCTTGAAATATTTCTCTTATTATACTATCGAAGAAAAATTTTAGAAGAAATTGACAGTATGGTGTCAAGTCGGAAACAAGTTAGTAATGTAGTAGTCATTGTTATTTTCGATAAATGGAGTTAGCATTTTCTCTCATAACGAAGTTACAATTTCATTCGTAGAGAGTGATTTTAAACGCGAAAGTCTCGGTACGAACGATTGATAAGTCGGTTATGAAATTCAGAATTGAATTGAAAGAACAGTATAAAGGAATTAGACGGATGGTGTCACCCTTTCTCCTCCGAGCTTTAAGCTTCGACGGATGCTGGTTTATTTACAGAAACCGTTTTAGCAGGAAGGAGCACGTTCGTGTCAGGTACCGGCCGTAAGCGCTTCGCGTCCGGCCCTATCCGCTCCGTTCCGTTCTGCCGCATATAGAACATCCGTTGCGGCAGAACTCCGCGTATGTGCAAGCTTCATGCGCGAAGCGTCTCATCCCGACGTTCTCATGCGATTTTGTCACGGTATGAGATTCAATTTCATGAATAACTCACTACGTTACGTTCCACGGCGGCTCTCCGAGGAATTAGACTTAGGTAAAAGAGAATGGACGAAAATATCACCGGTGGCCCCGCGGTGGGTTTGCCGAACTATGTGTGACGGGTGGGTGACCGCGTGCGTCTCGAAGGCGCAATCGGTTTTACTGTAAATGGCCACATCACCCGATAAGGATCGAACTGTAGAGTTTGTCATTGACGAAGACAGCTTGCCTGTTAGCTTGTCAGCCGCTATATCGATATATAGAGGCATGGGTAATTGTCTAAATTCGAGGCAATTGAGTCCAAGCGATGCAGAATCTAAACGCGTATATAACATCAGCGGTTAACGATTTAAAGGAAAGCGATCTAGGGCGAAGGAGCGAGACTCCGAGCTAACTTGGAAATATACAGCCCAATGTAACTAAACGAGGAGATGCATACATACACATGTACGTAATATCATAGCTATCGCGTGACAATCGTTTCGTGCGAACGTTTCACGATTCACCAGTTTCGCTCGTCTGGCGGCGACATCTGCCTGGCAAACCGCATCTTCCTCTCCGCCTGCTTCTTCAGCTTCATTTTTTACCGCTCTTCTCGTACGCAGACCCTTTAGACAGTTTCCCGTCGAGCATTAACGCCGATGTAGAACTTATAGACGAGATGTTTATCGAAAACGGTGGAATAGTAGGATAGAAGTGTAATATATGATATGAAATAATTATTTTCGTGTTTATTTTTTTACGTGATCTTGGACGGATAGTTTAATTAACTGTTGCAAATATAACACGTTATTATGTTAATTCCTCCATTGTATCCAGTACAAGTTGTTTTCTATACAAGCACATCTATCTTTTTTCAGTTTTAATTATTTATCTTATCTACCTATTTATCTTTATTTATCTTATATATTTTTAGATTCTTTTAAATTATTTATCAATTATTTCTTCTTCTTTTCTCTAAAAATTGTATTCGCGTGAGTATAAAGAGCGCGCGTAGGTTCGTTTTTTCACTTTCCACCCAAACAAAATTCCCACTCGTTTTCCAAACGAGATTACGTGGGCAGATGTAGAATCCGGCTTGCGTTGCACGCTTTATAATCGACATCGATTAACGCCGCGCCTCTCGGATTTAAATGATACGTATTAGATCGACTAGAATATTAGGTAAAAATCGAAGAGAGAAAAATACCGCCTCGTCACGATCCTCAAGGCAGTAGGTATTTTACGCTGTTGAGCAATCATAAGCGAAAGTATTGTATAAATATAAATCGAGGGAAACATAACGAATATATAATGCATTAAATCATATGTTTAGAAGGCCTTTATTCTCAAGGTCGATCTCTACCGGCGCGCGGCGTTACGAACCTTTTGAGAAATAGCGAAGCATGTTTAACGAAGTATAACTGGTTTTACGAGCCGGTATTCGTAACGCTCGCTACATCGATTACATTATCGATCCATTTTTATTTGCGCGTCCTTTTGCGTCGCGTCGCGTCGAAAAATTTTGACAAGAAATTTTCGCTTGGCACAACTGCGACTCGGAATGAGAAACGGCAACGAAGGGCGGAGAAATCGGCATGACGTAACGGCCCGTATAAAGGCAATAGAAATAAATGACGTTAAATTGTTGGGTGGTTCGTTTTTAGCGGGTTCTACTGGTAGCGTTGGAGGTTGAGACAAACTCGAAAACGCGAGATCAAGACGAAACTTGCGTATTTATACAGATTATGGCTGCTTTAAAGCTAGAAACATAATTGCTTACGACGTATAAATTTCTTTTACTTTATTTTACATACGGTAAAATAAAATATGGATACTTTTCGAACATGTGTGAAGTGTGTGTGAACTTTAGTATACTTTTTCTAAGGTTATAATGAAGTTTACTATAACAACCCCGATAGTTCCGACCGAAACATTTCCCAAAGGAAAATCTGCAGAAAGGGAGATTCGCAGCAGCGCGCTTATTCGCGAATCTCCCATTGTTGAAAACATTATGCGTAAGGGACGTACGCACCGTAGACCATATAGGCAGCTGCTTCACAACGGACAATTCATGGGGTGCAACAATGGGCGAGAACGGTTTGTCAAATCGATCCAGGTCTACGTTCAAGACCACTTGAAGAGTGAGTCTTTCTTATGACTACTAACGCGGTGAAATTCATTCTGGAGTAACATAATTTGTTAAATTAAGTCGATTTACTCTTAAAGAAAAAGATATATTTTCTCGTTTCAGCAAAATTGAATGTTTGTTCTTGGAGATCGACGATCGATTCACAAATCTTTGTTCTCTTGCTTATTCTACTAAACATCTCAATGCAAGATAAATCCTGTATCGCGATTCTGTCCGTCTGATTTACCCATTTTCTTATAATTATCTAATGAATGCTTGCGTGGGACTAACTCGACATAATCGAGATTTCCGACGAATACAGGACCATCGCCCATATTCCCCGCATTCTCTATATCCCTCGTATCCTGCATATCGGCAAGGTCACGACCTCCACCGAGAATCGTGACTGGATTGCACAGAGCTCTTCAGGTCGTTGCCATCATCACGCCGTCACGCCGCATTTACCGTCCTGCCAGTCTTGCTTTTTGTCTATTTCATAGTTTTCATATATATATTTAAAAAAGTATAATATAATCGTTTGTCTCAATAAGATCGAAACCACAAAATAATAGATCGATCATTCGTTGTCAATCATTGAGAAAAATTCAATTTTAGATCCATCTGACAACGTTAAAAGAATTCTTATATCAAAGGGGGATGAATAGTCCGGGAATGCTCTCTATAGACAAAAATCCGATTAAAGTTTCCTAACGCTTCAATGTGCATTCCGAGCGCAGGACGTAAGGCGGTATTCTATTTCACGCTATGTCCGGCTCAGCGTGTCAGTGTCGAGCCAGAATGCAAGCACTCGCGAACGGAATGCAAATACCTCCTGTAGACTTGTCAGCTTAACAGATATCTAGTAAGAAGTGCGCGTGGAATCGGAAAGAATCGGCGAGAATTTATCCTGCCAAATTTATCTCTCTTAAATTTTTGAAGTCAACTCTTGCCGAACAAGAGGAAAGTTATATCTAATGATAGCGCTGACCAGACGAACGCGTCCTTGGCCTATCCAACAATCAGAAATTTTTTATTCAAGACATGATGTCATGTGCACGGGAAACGGAGCGTACATTGCAATGAGTTGACGGCGCGCGAGAAACTTTCTGTTTCCGTACCGCACAGCGTATTCGACATAAGCGTATATATATAGGAGTTGTAAACTTATAGTGTAACCCCAATCCTCGAGTTATAGTTCAGTTAAATTAAAATTTACGCCGAATTAAACGAAGAGTAAGACCTTGTTATACATCTGCTCTGAATATTTATTATATTCGCTAAAATGTATTAAATCTTAACATGAAACAACTTTAGAACTATACCTTTGCCTAAAATTTTGTTATAAACTAAACTCCACTTCTTCCTGGGATATTATTCTGCTAGTTCCCACACTTCAACACGCGATACAGAGACCGAGCTGTTCTTTTTTGAAGTATTAACCGTAATCGTATTTCCCATACGTTCAGGTTTCTTTCTTCCGCTTTGATTTACGGATTTTTACGATCCCGATCGCTCCCATGGGGCCCACGCCACAGTGGAAAGGAATTTATCGTGGGACTCACCGACGCGACCTGGAAGGGTCCAGCCACGAATTCCTATCTCGTTAAATCGGCAAAGGCCCCCTCCAGAGGCCTTGGCACTCCGATTTTTTTAACGCGTCCACCAGGCGCTCGTGAGTGATGCGAGATAGACTCCGGACCGGCGCTCGCGAACACTCATATTTTTTTCGGGCGCAAACGATACACTCGCGAGATCGATTCGTCTCCTTTTTGTTCTGTAAAAAGCACTTTTTTTATTTCTCTTTTTTTCTTCGAAAAACCGACGTCGATTCGACAGACGCGGCGCGTCGCGTCGCGTTGCGTCGCGTCACGTGCCGACTCACACTGTCGTGGCAACGAGTGCTCCGCCACTGTGTTCCATAGCAACATCACCGTATGAAGGCGGGTCCGCTTGGCGATTGGTGTAAACGATCCTGGAAGGGAGAACGGAGGGGACTTTGTTCGGTTCGGACGATAGCGAGCGTCGCTTGGTTCGAAGCTCGGCGGGACATGTACAATTTGGGATCGTAACTCCGAGAAATTGAACACGATAGGATTGCGAATATAAATATTTTATTTTTAGAATGGGACTGCAAGTTTAATCCCATTTTGCTAAAATTATAGTCCGTCGTTCTCTTCGATGTGACGGGCTGCAAAAACGGTAGTAAGCAAAGATAACCACTGGCGATGGACATCACATCGAAGTAAGGTCTTTGCTGCCGTTCGAATTTAAATGATCATGTGCTCGAAATATTCCTAGTTCAACCTCATTTACTAAAATCGTAGTCCTTTATTCTTTCCGACATGATGGGCGTCAAAGACGGTGATAAACAAAGACAAACCGACCACTGGCGATAGACACATCATCGGAGTAAGATCCTTGGTGCCGCTCGAAACAATCATATGCTCGAAATATTCTTAGTTCAACCCCATTTACTAAAATTGCACTCCGTCATTCTTTCCGCTGTGACGGGCTGCAAAGACGGTGGTAAATAAAGACAACCGACCGCTGGCGATGGACACCACATCGAAGTCGGGTCCTTGCTGCCGCTCGAAACAATGCTGTGCTCGAAATATTCCTTGATAATATCTTCTGAATCTGGCCAACCGTCCCTAGGTTGTGCTGCCGAGACTTTGGAGTTTTTCATTACAGCTGGAAATAGAATTTTATGTACTAATTTTATCTACTGAGAATTAACGCGACAATGATAGGACGGTCGATAGAATAATTACCGAGCTGTTGAAGTTCCCATATCATCAGTGGGGTGTAATGCGAAAATCGGCAGCCCAAACCAAAAGCGCAGTCTCCAACGGTCATGTAGCGTTTACACGGAGTTTTATTGTATATCTCCTTCAATATCGTCTCCGGGTCTAAAGATGTTAATAATAAATTAGTGTGTAGTCCGATTGCGATTGATTGTATGCAAGTATGAGAGAGGTTATGTATAACAACATTAACTGAAGAATTAAATAAGAAAAACGTTATTTTTAATGCTTACCTTTATATGTTTTATAATGACTCTCTCGATTTGCTACATGCTGCAAACTGGATAGATGTTTTTTACGAGCTTCGACATCATCCTTGAAAAATCTGTCGCAATAATCGCAATAGTATGTCTTGCCCATGATCTTGACGTGTATGATTAGCTTGTAGAAGGAATATAAGTTTTATCAATAGCTATGTCATATTGACAATTGAATAAATGTCTTACTCAGCAACACAGTAACTAGAAACACGTGATCGTGTTTGGAGTAGTTTAGACACTCAAGTCACTCAAGAAAAATACTACTATGAAACGACATCTAGCAATGAGCATGTTAACTATAACTATATTAACCAGAACGCGCATACTTTCAAATACGCATCAGATAAAAAAGAAAAACGCAAATTCTTTTATTCAAAATTCAACATTAAAAATTTGGATTTAATTATTTAATATTACATGACTTTTATTTTAAAACAAATTTATATTAACCATTTTTACTTTTGGAAAATAAATAAGGATGTTTTTCATTAGTTTCAATAAAAAAATGGAAAATAAATAAGGATGTTTTTCATTAGTTTCAATAAAAAAATATTTATATATTTTATCTAAAACTCCGAACCGACTCTAAGTCGACTCCAAACAATTTTTAAAAATTCGCGTTGATGTATAATTGAATTATATATTAATATTGAATCTATAAAGCCATTAGCAATATTTTTGTGTAAAAAGAAAAACAAATTATTATTGCATAAATCATTATTGAATATTGTAATAGGATATTTGGTAAATCGCTATATTCTTCATCACATCATTGTGTTCGCCCAATTATAAGCCCAGTTATAAACCCAATTGTAAGCCCATTACAAGCCGAATTGATTGAGTTTGCGGACGATGTCCTAATATTTAGATTTTAGTCCGTGCATTAAGTAGGTATGTATTTTAAACAAATGGATTACATGTAATGTACCGCCCGTTTTAACGCGGTACGATCGTTTTATTATATTCTTACAATATATTTTTTACCACAACTTGTTCTTGTGCACCGCTAAACTATTCATACGGTGGTAAAGTAACGTATCGACAAGAATGTCTATTATTCGTCGCAACGTTCCTTTCTATACATTAATTCGATACAATAAATATTCTTCATTCACAATGTTCACACTCCGACATAAACTAGACGACGTTACTCGATGATAGACCATTTTCGGCGATACCGAAGCTTCGCTTTAAATTTTCTACAAGCGACAATCGTAGATAACCTATGAGTAATGCGTAATCGTGTGAGCCAAGATATTTGTTTATAAATTCGAAACTTGGTAAATAAAAATCGTGGATATAACTGCGAGAATGGAAAGCGGAAATATCCACGGGAATATTTTTTTTTACGGTAAATTGGGAACTCGCTATTGCGAATTCGAGATTTGATCTTAGAAGCTAAAAGTTAATGATATCGGATATAGGGTATAGGAATCGGGAATTGAAATAAAATATATTGGATATCGGGAAATTCAGACATGCTGTTCGACTATATCTGTTTCATATATATCTGCTTGCTACTGAACAATAGCTGCACGTACCATATTGCAATCAATATCAATCGCGCAGGAACATCGCGTAGAATAGTGCATATTATATATTCGAGAAAATTTCAATATTACCGCGATACGTATATCATTTCAATTACTTGTATATCATTTACTTGTATGTAATGACTAAATTACGGAATTTCGTTACAATAAATACGTGTAATTATTGCTCATAGTCAGCGTTAAACGTGTAGTACAGGAATGTCGCGCAATATTATATTTAATACGCAATTCGTCAGCATCTTCAGCAAAATTGGTATAAACATCGGTATAAATTACAAATATAGAAGGTAGAAATAATATTCGCTTTGTAGAAAAACACGTGGACGAACGTGAAAATAATAAATTCGCAGTACCCTGCTTTGTGGACGAGTAAAGCTAGCACTGAAGAATAAACAATTATTTGAGTAGTTTAGTTGCTGCTTCGCTGCTTCGTATTATGCACCTTGAATCGCTTACCGATCGATCGTTGCTATAATCACGTATGACAAGTGATTGATAGCATACACAAGTGAGTCTTTTTAGGCCTGCTAAAAAAAAAATTCCCATTTCAACGGTACATCGATACGTTAATTCATGAAAAATGGACTAGATCGCAACAGAGTTGGAGGTAGCTGTCGATATTTGGGAAAGATTTGCTATATATTACATTAAAGAAGAAAAATTAGAGCAGAATTAGCTTTGGTAAGAAGGTTTTGAGCAAGTAAGCTCCAAATTATTACTAAAAAGACCGAACTCGTTATTTCGACGAGACTCTTTAGCCTTTTTTTTTAACAACTATAAGTTCTATATATGACGCACGCTTTTAATCGATGCAGTAGAACCTCGATTAATGGCTACTTTATAATTACTTTATTATTGACAATAGGCCGACAATAGTGCAGCTACATTATTTTAGATGCCCCCGCCATAATAACACATGAAAAGCATCTAGAAAGAATCATTTACGCGAAATGAATAACGTCGGAAAAATTTTAATAAAAAGTTTTACAGATTAATATGATAATATAATATATCCACAAATTTTATTTTGAAACTGAAATATGCCATATTCTGCGTTAAATAGAAGTTCTACTGCATTAATAACGTAAAATACAATAACGTAAAATACAATATCTTTTATGTCCAAAGTTTGTAAAATTATTTGAAAGTTTGGAACTTCCTCTTTCTTAATTATCTTTTTATGTATAATTAGTAATATGGGAAAGACGTTTTTAAATTTATAGTCCCTCTAAATATGATAAATTGAATAGTATGACGATCGGGACTAACCAGTTTATTTTGCATTGAGATCGATATATTTTTTTCCAAACTCTCAAAGGAGAAGCAATCGTACACATTTTTACACTTTCCACATTTAAAGTAAAACAGATGTACATTTAACTTTTGAGAAACAGAGGGAAAGAGAGAAAGAGAAAGGTAAAAAAATGTAGGAAAATGTAAAAAGTGCAGTCGAGAAATATACTTTTTAGTTATCACATTCCGTTTTCAACAATAAATTAGAAACAAAAAGATTAAATCATGCTTTCAACATTTGTGTGTCGTAATAAAAGATATTCGAAAAACAGACTTTCATCGTTAATTTTAGAATTGGAAACGCTACAACCATACCGTTTATTTTACATAGATACAGGAACTTATATAAAAGTTAACATGCATATTATTGATATTGGTACATCTTAATATATGCTCCGTTTATCATGCGTAGGATGTTAAAGTTATACTCTATCGCGTTCCGTCGCGTTCCACTTAACATACCTACCAGATACGAGGATTTTGCATGTTTGTCATTCTGTTGTTGTAGATCACAATTTATGTTGAATATTAAGTCGGGTAATTATATAGGAAACTGTTCGTTTTTTCTCCACCATATCACATTTAATCTTTCTTTAGCGTTTTGCATAGGAAGTATTGTATAACCATGTTGAGAAAAGTTCTTTGAAAAGTCTTGAAAAATCTGCCTGTATATCTCTCTGCTCATGTATGGCAGTAATAACTCATAAAAAATGTAAGTATAAGTCGATAGTATGAGGATAGTTCCAGAATGTAGTCATGTAGCGAATTGTGTGAAATGCACTCTAAATCGATTCTAGGAAACGGCTCAAGGAACAATCGTTTTTTTTTTTTATTTGCCATTGTAGTCCTTCTTTACACAGTGCAACTTTGTTCCGGAGAAAACTTTTTTTATATATCGATAAATAATAAAAAACATTTGAATGTTCCCATTTGTATGCCTCAGCCTGTAAATATCTCGTTCGAAGGATTCTCATTTTAGCCAAAGTAGAAAGCGCTTAAATCTCACTGGTCCCGGGCGAAGGCTGGATTAATTGTTTTAATGTAAAATAAACGGTATCGTTGTTTACAACTAGCGGCCCGAAGTGAACTAATAAAACTCGTTCGCCTGTCCGTTGTTCGGCTTGTCTGGAATGCCTCGTATATTTACGCGCATAATTTACTAGTTTATGGACACTACATTATAAGGTACAAGAAATAGGGGATGGCGTTCGAAACCTGTTTAAGAATGGCACTGACTGTAATAAGTAATATTCTATCTCTCCCGGCATCCCTGCGTTTGAGTAAGCGTCTTATTTTTTAATGTCGTCGGCAGTATGGATGTTGACCTCCTGACGGACCTTGTGACCGCGGAAACTCGCTTGAATCTTAGTCGCTGCCTTGTGCAAGTCCGGATCGGCCAAGTCGATCCCCTCTAATTCTTGGGCAGCGTCGTCCATCTGCAACAGAATTTGACAAGAGAAACGTAAAACGTAGAGCGCTATAGCCGTTTGTTAATTTAAGACGCCCTAAATCTTTTTATCCTCGAATATATAGCTTTCCGAAACGGGAACTTATTCGATCGCGAACGGAATGTGTTTCTCTCGCGTTTATCGAAGTTAGCCTTCTTATCTTAAATGAGACTGAGACTGCACGGAATCCCGCTGTGTGCGTCAACTAGCCCGTACTTAATTAATCGATACGACACGAAAGTAACTTAAACATTGTAGGCCATACCGGTCTACTGGTCTCGAGACGAGCTTTAGTAGCGCTTCGGTACCCAGATGATCATCTTTAGCTTGGAAGGCAGCTGTCGATTATTCGCCGGGCATTCGTGGATCAACGTAATGTCAAAGGGTCTAACAATAGCTTTCTCTCACGGACCTCGGTACAGAAATGATCGAACACGGCGACCTTGTGCATCAAAACCTGTCATTACCGCTTCATCGATCGAATCAATATTGGCGTATCAGATTGAGAAAAAAAATTACTTTGATTACAACAGCTCTCTTAGTTATTTATTCTTGTTTTAATATAACGCGCAACGCGGATACTACGTGACCATAGCGGTTATTTTCCAGAAATATAATTTACGAAAAATGTGTGACACATTGTCATGAATTTGCTGAAACTTATATATAATACTTTTATTAAATTAATTCATTATTCATCAATAAAACTGCCTATTAATAAAAAATCTTTTCTTATAACTTTTCTTATAACTCTAGGGAGCTCTGATCCAGTAGGTGGGGTTACTACTTTACACAAAGACATCTTATTCTTTATCATAATTAGTTCGCCTTATCGGTCTTTGATCATTTCTCACATCAACAAGTAGATAATTCATAATAAAACTTTCACCGAAAAATTAATTCTTATTAAGTGAGATTAATTGATCTAAAACTGTACAAGATTTTAAAAACCGAATATCAAGAATATATTATTTTCTATATGTACACAATTATCATATACGTAATATATAGATAGATATGTACAGCTCAAACAAATTTTAATAAAAACGTTGCATTAAATGACTCAATCGAAAATTAGAACATTATTATACGTATATCAATAATAGAAAATGGCCAATAATTGAATAAAGCCTTTTCCTGCAATCAGATATAGCCTGGGTTCCGTAAAGCGCATATGCGCGCATTCATCTATAGCTTACGTAACGTTTACTACAGAAAATGCGCGCATATTTGCTTTACGGAACCCAGGGATTATATGAGGTCGGGTGAAGTTCTGCGAAGAGTCAATAGAACTCGCGTTTAAAATTTTTACGAAAGGCCGAAGGCAGTTGCTCGATAGAGCATCCTAATCCTCTAAATCCATCTAATCCTCTTTAATCAATAGATAGTAAGCCTTCACGTATATGGTATCTAACGAGATTGACAGTTAACTCACCTTTTCTTCTATCTTAGCAGTCGCACTCTCAACCATGTTCATCGCCGACTTGGCGGCAGTGGTAGCTTCCTTTCTCGACATGTGGCCCCGGAAAGTCGCTTGTATCTTTTTCGCCGCGTCACAGAGCTCTATGGAATAGAAGCTGTTTAAATAACGATATCCTTCCTCGAGCTCCGAATTTATATCAGGGCATATATAGTCGCTCACCCTGATCGTCGGCACGGAATTCCTCCTGCAGCTGTTCCTGCGTAGGTTCGGAGGGTTCTTCGTCAGTTTTTGCCTCCTTCGACGCTGTTTCCGACACTCTCAGACTTTTTCTAGCGTGATGCCCACGGAAAACTGCTTGTATTTTCGTGGCTGCTGCCTCTTTCTCTTTATCTTCCTCTGCGTTTTCGTTCCCCTCGTTCGAGGCTTCTGCGCTGTTTTCGGCCGCCTTTGAGATATCTTCGAACAGAAGTAATAAAGAATAATTTCGCTTTCGGCTTAATTTTATGCAAAATGTGAATTAGAGATGCTGCACCTAATACAGAATACAGCTAGAAGTTTCTTGAACGATAACAATGAGTATAAATGATAATATAAAGAATCGGGCATAAATAATGATATACAAACGACACATAAATTATGTGATACAATATATCAGCCGGTAATTGCTCCCTGATTTTCCCTTAAGGAAAAAGCGGCTATAAATTGCCCGAAAATCCGTAGAAGATTGGAGAAAGGGCGCGGCTTCTGATACATCCCGTATATTAGAAATGGCCGCCGTGTTAGCCACAGTTCACCTACATTTATTCCGAACATTTCACCTTCCACAGAGACGTTCCAGAGCGACAAGTATCGATTAGCGTTTCTATTTTCGCGCTCGAGATTATACAACGCCTAATATACATTTTTAATATTTCACGCTCTGATGTGAAATGATGCGACAAATATTAATCGGCTCTTCCATCTATTTGCTAATGAAGTTAAAAATCTTCGTGTCTCCTCCAATGATTCATCGACGTATATCGACAGAGATAAGGTTCTGTCATATCTTTAAGCGGTCATTTCACGCGGTGCGAAAAGTTTTAAAATTCGTTTAAAAAATCGTAAAAAATAATTTTTCTCTCCGACGGAAGGAACAATTGTAATAAAAGTTAATCCTCGCACCAAATCTCGTACTTTACACCAAAGTCTTTTTAGTTCAATTATATCTCAATTTAACTCAATTACAGGTATATCCCTGCAATATTTTAGAAATAGAATAATGCGTCATGATTGATGCGATTTAAATTGATTTTTCTCCAATTATATGTTATTAATTTATTGAAGTTCCATCGAGCTCGAATGAATAAAACAATTAAATGTAAGATATGAGGATTAAGCGTGACAGCATTGGAAACTGATTTTTCTTTTAGAAAATAGAACACACCAGCTATTGAGCGCTTTTGCGCGACAATGTTTCCCCAGGTTATTACTTGATAGAGCTAGACAGAGCAAGTGGGAATTCAGGAAACATAGCGAGACACTTTCGTGACGAGCAATAAATTCTTCCCTAGTTGCGCTTCTCGTTGTTTTGTCACATTGTGCAAAGCTGGCGGATCGATCGTACAGGTTCGCGGTAATTTTATATCGACGTTTATGTTTATACGTGCCGTAAGGCTTTCTGAGAGAAAGTAAAAAGGAGAAAGGATAACATCGCACATGTTTTATGCACGTGGCTAAAAAGCGCGCATTGAATTTTAGTTAAAAACTAAAAATGCTTATCTGAGGGTTAGCCGTTATTTGTATCGCGATCTCATCTTCGAACATTCCCTTTGCGCCTGTCTCGATATTTTTACAATATGTTGACAATGTTTCTTAAATGCTTGAATTTGCTTTTATTTCTTCTCTGATATCACGCAAGGATGTTCCGCCATCGATCCACCCAGACCTTGTTACCAGAACCCTCGAGGAAATCAAACTTGCCAGAGAAACATCGTTATCGTGATTATGAAACCCCTTTTAACTCTAAATAGATAAATTTAATTTTATATATCGATTGAAACTATAAAGATAAATTTGGCGACATCGTAAACTGTTTTATCTCTAGACAATTGCCACAATTTTCTGTCGAGAAAAATCATAAAAGTAATTCCTGAATGATAAGCTTTTTAATGATTTATAAATTAATATTTTGCAATTAAATATCACTTCTAAAAAAAAAAACGGAATGCTTTAACATTGACCTGCTAATATTAATTAAAATGTCAATTAATTTCAAAATATTTTATATTTCGCTGAATGAAGGAGAGATTAATTTAGAAATTATGCAATGTTTAATAAATGTTGTGTTCTAAAAGCGCGATAAAAATCCAAGTGTATTTGGCGAGAAAATTTACAAATCTTGAGACAGACGATTGCTCCTTTTCGCGGATATCCGGGAGAATTTATTTCGCGCATCTGTCAATCGGTTTACAATCGTTAACTCCTGCGAAATAACAGTCGGTCAGCCGAACAGCTGATCTCAAATAGGTTTCGGGTTTTCGAAGATGCGACTATTTCCGTCGCTTATCATAAAGATTCCCATTTTACTTGACCCGGCCCGGTCACGGAGCGTTCGATACGGACGTCCTCAGATGTGCAAGCATTCGAAGTGCAAGGAAGAGACTCGCGTCGCACCTGACAAACACGTACGTTTCGAGCCAATGATCCGTTTCGGGGTTTTACCTCGCGCTTTACAAGCGATATTAACGGCGGTGTGGCGATTGCGATTCGCGTGTCGCGTGTCTCGAGACGATATCACTTGAGGCCCCCGCCCCGGTCATCGCCGCCCGCCACCCGCCTCTTTTAACCCGGTTTTCCCTCCGACGCGACGGGTTAAGCATGCACGCGAGGATCGTTGCATTGCGAGGAGGCGGCGTCGGGTCGCACTCGCGCCGCGACTCACCTGCGTCGCCCGCTCGCTCGCTCGGCCTCTCTCACCTGCACATCCACGCGCGGCTCGGTCTGATGTGCAACTGACTGTTCCCGGGCGCCCCGCGCCCGACGACCCCGTTTACAATAGCGGCCGATCACGGCCCTGCCGCGCCGCTCGTTCGCAGTCGCAGTCCACGGATTCTCGCCCCGCGACCGAGTGCACGCCGCGAAACAGGGCCGTCGCGGATGTCGTTCAACCCTCTGTATATCGGACTTTTTATATTTGCGGTTTTTTTTTCGCTCGCTCGCTCCGTTAATAACCTGGCCGAGCACATCGATTCGCGACCGAATGTCTTCGAGCTCCATTAACACGCGAATGTATAAGAGGGATGTCGAAAATATCACACAGTTTCGCTCCACTTTGGACTCTCCCGGCCTAAAAAAGATATTGATCTTTTTTCTTTTTTTTTCTTCTCAAGGTATTGGGGATGATCCAAAACGGGCCGAAACGTTTTGTGCTTTTGATAATATATATTTTTTTAATTGTAATTAATTACGCATTTGCAACTGCGGTGAAATTCTCTTTGTCTTGCGGCTTTTCTATTACTGTAATGCCTTATTGCTTTCCCTCCTTCCTTTCGGTCTATTAAGTCGTGAATATTTGAGCAATTGCACCATTACGCACTCACTGCAGAACCTTGAGAAAATCGTATGATAATATGTTCTGCAAAAGATCTATTATTTTAAAAAATATTATTCCCTCTAAAAATAGAGTATAAAGCATGCCTTGCGAACGACTTAATCGCAATAGTGAGAATACTGTCATGGCATCCAAATCGTTAAGAAGCCAACAATGTTGGCAAAGAGGATTAAGGGGAAAACCGATATAAACAGTTTACCGACTCTATTAAAATTGCGCCAATAAGCGATAAATTGCGTTGCATTATGCGTAAGCTACTTATGTTAATTGCTATAATAGCTTGATTCTATCGACGAATCCACGTGCGCTAATCGCGAATACCGAAAGTACTGTATACAGTATGTACAATCAAAATGCAACGTTTCATTTATATTCAACTTTTGTTAACAAGAAGAATGCAATCGCAGCACAGTTTACGTCATCAATTACCCTTCTTTCTGTTCTCTTTTATACACTTTCGTTCACCGCGCGTGAAATATTCCTCTTAACAAGAAAACGATCGCCACTTTGAGCCTGGGAATGATAACGATCCGCAATTGTACACGGCAGAACTAGGTCAGACGTGTTATTTTTTTTATGTATAGATTGTTATAATTAGATTAACCACAAGATTAGTTTTGTCACAAGAGAATACGCGTACGTATTCATAAACTGTTGGAATGTTATGTTACGTCTGATGAGCCAAAAAATTTTTCTGTCATTTCGGATACTTCAAATATTCATGATCGATGCGAACCATAGCGTTTCACTCCAAGAAATTCCACTCACAAAAATTTTTCTATGTTCTAACAAAAACTTGTAAACGTAGTCGTTTTAGATTTTTCCGCTCCGTTTGCATCTGAAAGGGCTCGAAACTCTATTTTCAAGATCGATTAACATGCTACACCAGCAGCTTCGTAAAAGACTTTTGTATATCGATTCCATTCATCATCCCGCAGTAGCATTCCTGTTCGATCGGCATTCTTATGCGAGCCACACTGTTGGAATCTCCATGCAGTGTCGGTTGCGTCGGTATTGATGAAACAATCCAGTATCTCACATGCGGAAATTCATCGAAGCTCCGGAGTAATTGATTCTGCTCGAAGCAAGTTAGGTTGTACGGATTTTTACTACCAGCCAGTAAAGCAGGAATTCCCGAAACTCAATAATTAAACTTGCCGCATCAGCTTCTGATAAGTCGAGCTCTTTAAATATTAATCAATGTGCTCGTGCAATCATGCGATACAATACACGGAACTCACGTGCGAAGAGATTATTATTTTGTCGGACAAACAAATTTCGATCTTCCGTCTGTTATACTTCCGAAAACTCGGTTATTGCTTCTTATTGTTATTCCATAAATACTATTTTGTGATTATTTCATTCATGATAAAAACGACAAGCTCTCGACGTATTCAGACAAATGATGGAGCTTTTTTCCCGTTTATAATACTTGCGAAAATACAGTTATTGTGTCTATTACTATTCCATAAATACTATTTTATGATTATTTCATTCATTTTATGATTATTTTATTAATAAAAACAACGAGTACCCGACGTATTCGTACAAATAACAAGCTTTTTATTAATATTTTTTCTGTTAAATCCATTACTCCACTTTTTCTTAACCAACGCCATCGTCCATCATATCTCGATTATAAAAGGAAACTTTCGTAGTTGTAGAAACAGTGAAGGGTTAAACCTTGACATACATCACGCGATCACTTTTATTCGGTATTTCGATACACCCCCATCGGATTTCACGAACGCCCCATTTTACGCTCGCCAAAATACATTTATTTTTCTGGCGCGTTATCGAGGATCGTACATTATCGCGAGATAAGAGGAAATTTTAACATTAAATTTCTAGAAATCTAATAAAGCAGAAAATACATATAACGCGAAATTTGACATGAGCACATAAAAATATCCATTTTATTAATATCAATCGTTTTTTTGTTAAATGAGAGGCTTTAAGTTTATATTTTATGTGTTCGATTCCGCTTTAGATAACAAGATAAACAAAATTTATTCTCAAATAGTAAAAACTGTTTACATCACAAAAAATTTATTCCATATAATAATTAAACTAAAACAATTTATTGATATTAAAGAAAATAGTCTTTTCCGAGAATATTCGTTTGATTTCAATCGACAGATCGTTTAATTAATGACTCGAATGAGTCTTCATTCGAGAAGTTAATCGAGATTGATTCTATCGACAACTATTCATCGAAAAATTAATCGAGATTGATTGCAGTCTCGCAAAATATGAATTTTTAAATGACTCGAGTCTTCATCGAGAAGTTAATCGAGATTGATTCTATCGAGAAGTCTTCCTTGAAAAGTTAATTGAGATTGGTTCGAGTCTCGCAAAGTATAAAGAATAAAATTTAAAAAATTTGTACATTCATCACTGTGCGCATCGAACGCATTTGTTACATGGAAAATAGTCGTTCGTTCTGCCGACCCTACTGATTGCGTTGATATTACTGAAGCGCGTGCACGCAATCAGCTCGAAGGATCTAACGAAGTGAACAGAGGTACATTTATCATTGTGAAACAAAGCAGACTCTGTCATTGTCAAGATAAACAACGCCGGAGTTTTGTGGTAGTTGCAATTTATAGAGATTAAAATGGTGCAAGACACAAAAAACGACAAAAAGCATCGTACGATGTCATCGTCGTCAATACAAAATTCAATATCATGCAAACTCTAGTAAAGCGGAAATATGCGGAAAATTAGATCGTGTTTATCGCACAATTCGTTACAAATTTGCATGACGATGGCTCGCACGATTAACAAATCGAAAGGGATAATCGCTCACCCCCGTTCTTGACGGAATCGCCCTCTTTCGCCTCCTCCACCGCTGGCTGAACGCTCTCCTTGCTAGTATTGCACCCCATGTCTCTCCCTGTCTGTTCTTCTCTTAAATTTTCTTGTATCGAACTAAATCAGACTTCAAGAGGCACCCGTATTATTGCAGTTCCCTTGTTAACATCGCGTTACGAAAGAAAAACAGTTGAGTCAAGTTATCACTTTTCTCAGTAGAAAAGTCTTGTAGCAAATATAGTAATTACGTTCTATTTTATTGGGATATTAAAGAGTATAAATTTTCTTCTTGTCCCTTTCACTTTTCTATTTTCTCCTTTTTTACTCACTCCTTTCTCCCTTTCGCTCGCTTTCTATCCTTCACTGTCCGAGAATCCGTCGCGAATGTAAAACGTCGCGTTGGACTCTCTCTCTTTCTCTGTGCTTCAGATATTCTTTTTATCCTTTGTGGTAATGAAAAATAGCTATCTTTCTAGTCGCGACTAAAATTTCTTTGAAACTTTTAAAAATATATCTTGCACGTTTAACCGACTGTGAAAATTCGACGATTTTCATTCGAAATTACTTTCTTCCCCTCTATCTCTCTTTCTATCTACATATGCGCGCATATGTGTAAGTGTCAGGTTCCTCCTGCGCCCACCCCCTGCTTCCCACCTTTATTCGGGGGTTACTGACACGTCGCGTGGCGCCGGCACCTGCGAGACAATCCTTCACACTCAAAAGTAATCCGAGACTCCCTCATGCGTCTCACTGTCACGCGACGCCCGGCGTCCCGCGGTCGTCTCCTTCGACGAAGGAAGGATTCCACCGACCGATCGTGGCTCTCACCGAAAGTCGAGCATTACCGCGAGCTGTACACGCAGAGAGAACGAGAAATCCCGTTCGACGTCGCGAACGATACTGGCGTCGCTCACTTACGACCCTGCCCTTGCTCGCGTGGCAACCAACCCGGGTTGTATCAAGTCTATGTATATGACGCCGATATATATTCGCGCCACGCAGCACCCCCGTTTCTTCGCGCCGTGGAAGAGTCGCGGAGGCGGAGGCGACGGCGGCGGCGGCGGCGGCGACGGGACGCGGAAGAGATCGCCACGTTTCCAGTCACGTTTTTGGCCGGCGCGATGCGGCGCGAAGCGACACGCTTTAGGCGACGAAAGCCTAAAGCGCAAGCCTCAGTGTTACCAATGTATGACGGTCGTCCTTTCCGCGAGGATTCGGCGCCAGGACTCGATACAGCCACGGCGCGATTGCGACGGCGAAACCGTAAAAAAGAAATCGTTTCGATCCGGTAATCGCGCGCGCCGCGAATGACTATGTCAAATGTGTGCAGCCCTCTCCGCCACTCCCAATAACTCCCATACTACCCGCCATCCGGAGTGGATTCCCCGCGACCTTAAAAGCGCACGATCGATTTCGCAGACGGTGGTATTCCGCTCCGTCTAGACCATCGCCGGCAGACCGTTGCCAGACCGGCGCCAGCCTCTCCGTTCTTCTCGTTTTCTGGAACGAATATCGATCTCGCGGTTTCCGCACACGTGTACGTTACTGATATATCTCAGTCGTTAGGCTACCACTTGCGGAGAACATAAAGATAAGGATTAGGGAAAAAACGATCCTTTTACACTTGGAGCAATCGCACACGTGCACGGGAATAGAAAAAAAAAAAAAGGACATTTGTATTATCGAAACATTTAAAATTTTCTTTATTGACGCTTCTTTGCTAACGATCGATGGAAATAGAATTGAAAACTTCTGCTATAGTAATATGTGTGAACGTGATCACATGTCGGCTGTACTCCACTTATAGGCATCTTCCTGTAACGCTACTTTTGCGTTTTGTGATTCGAACCACTTCTTCTCGTATCCGTTACTTCTATCGACCCCGTCCCATCGATGACCGGGTTTAATACCGAATCGATTTGGCGCGTACGAACCGTGATATTGCGGCGGATCTGCAATTGAAATGATTAAATGACAATTTTTTTTTACATATACAAAGATATAGGAAGAGAAGTGTAAGTCCCTATCGATCTACATACCTGGCTTTCTTTTTCCCTCTTTTATCTGTTTTTGTTTTAAATACTCCTCCATAGGATCAAATTCCCTCATTCTTTCTCTCAATTGTTTCTCTAGATCTTCGTCGTCTGCGTATCTCGCCAAAGGTTTATTCATCTCGTACAAGTCATTTTTTAATTTTTCCTCGTGATCCACCACTTGTTTCAAGCTAGAATAAAACATGGACATCTATTATCATGGACGTATATTAGCACGAGAAGATAAAAGAATTTATCAGAAAAGTAAAAACGAAATAGAGACAAAAGAAAAATCGCTCACCCTTTTCCCCATTTAGCGTATTTCTCATTTATCTCTCGTTGCTTCTTTTCCTCTTCTCGTTTTTCCGCTGCTTCTGCTTCTAAATTGCGCTTTCTTCCCGTTTTATCACGCACAATCGTAGCTTGTCCTTCTCCGGTGATCTCTTTACTTAGCTGAAAAAAAAAATAAATAAATAACAATTTGCTAACTTATATTATCTATATCATCCAAGGATAAATAACGACTTCTATGAATATAACTTTATATTATAGAAAACATTACCTTTTTGAAGTGCTCTGCCTCTTGCCGTTTAATAGCTTCAGTTTCTTCTCGCAATGCTCTCGCAGCTTGGAATCCTGCTGTTTTTCCGTCTAATGTCTTTATCGCTCGACTATCATGATTTTTTGAATGACTTTCCGTGTGCCCACGTTCGGACTCGTCTGTTTCCTCGTCCCAACGCGACTTTTTCCTTTTTTCCCGTGTATCTGAGTACGATCGAGAGTCACGATCTCTATCTTCATGTTTCTTCTCCCGTTCATCTCTGCTTGACCTGCCAAAAAGAGATTATATTTATCACCTGAATTCATATGGCCACAGAATATATAATATTTGATCATAATAATCTTCATCGGATATCTGACGTAAAAATTACCTTGGTACATCTTGTCCACCTGATCTGGATGAACTTTTTTTATCGTGATAATCGTGCCTTCTATCGCCTCTACGCGAATTGGAACGTGGCGAATTATCTCTCCCAGACCGGTGTTCGTTATGCCGAGATCTACTTAAATCCGAATCTCTACTCTTCGTATTCTTTCTGCTTTCATACAAATCTGTATCTGGATTGTGCTTGCGATTTTTTCTAGGTGGACTAAAATCCGAATTACTGTCTCTGTTACCTGAACTCCGGTAGCTTCGTCCAGATATACTGCGAGCCGAATGTTTCGTATTTCTAGGTGGACTTAAATCTGAGTCATAATTTTTAGATTGTCTGGGTGGACTCAAATCTGAATCATCGTCATTTTTAGGTCGTCTGCGTGAGTCGATGTGTTTATCCTTCGAATGCGTAGGTCTAGGTGGACTCA